GAAGCGTCATAAGATGTAAGCTCCCATAAATTGCCAATTAATACACTTACCCACATACAGTAAACTCTTTCGAATTTATTTTAAAAGTATACATTTAAAATTACATTGCTTGTTTTGTATGTAGTATTAACCGTGATGGCTGTCACCGGCTGGTGATGTAACCGACCTTCTGAGCGCCGCACGTCGCGCCATCTAATTTTATTGCATTTCATTATTCATTTGACCGTTTGGCCTCTTTGAATATTTTTCTATTAAAAAATGCTGAGAAAGATTTTGCAGGATATTAGAGAGTTCATTTGTTATAAGTAATTTGTACGTCGTTTACTAAAGAAGTCCTAGAGTTACTATTATTAATTGTATTGCTAAAATTCGATATTTTATTCTCTTCTAATATTATAGTCTATTTCTATTTAGCGTAAAACCGCACGACTCCTGCGCTAGTGAAAATAGGCGCTTAATAATGTAAACAAATGACTTCGACCTTCACTAAACGTAAAATTCTGCGTAGTAATTCACAACTTAATGAATAAACTCTATGAAAGATATTACTTTTTGTTTCAAATAACGATATTCGTACGTTAAAGTTAATGATAAATGGCCGTTAGCGTCCTGTCTATATTATTTCCTTAAAGACTGTCGAAATTCCAAGGTCTGTCTCAAGGTCAATGTTTTGCGTATAAAGGTGCACGTTAGTGTGTGTACGTGTTTACAAATTCACGTGAAGCGAAACAAATGCATTAACGAACATGGTACGAAATCTCGATATTTGTGTTCTTTTACTCATTTTTTTCTAAATTTACACTTACTCTAAACACAGATAGGTTACTTAATAAATCATATAACAAATTAAAAAACTTAATAAACATATTATATCGAAATGTAAACCAGAGACGCATTAATCGATTTGACCTTGAGTGTCGTCGCCCAAACCTGTCGTGCATTAGGGCACGTCCACACGCTCGGATATCATATAACTGCGGTGAGATTATACATTAAATATAGCACGTGTTATATACATTTATTGTTGACATACAAACATATCCTTGCCCTACTTTGGTACGAACAACAACTTTTCGTTCCCCTAATTGATTTAGCATTTAATTTTTAATCATGTAAGCTTTCACGGAATGTTAAAATGCTGTAAAAAAGAGTAACCCGTGCTTTTGATTTATTGACAAAGTGCGTGCTACGATAGTAAAGTAACGATCATTCTTAAGAAATCAAGTACAAGTGCTATGCTATAATTCCAGGATTAATTTTCGTATTTCTAGAAACAATTCTAGACCTTTATCAAATAGAGAGTAGACTCTGGGTGACTGAAACTTTAATACACTAGTTTTTCTTCTAGTAATAAGTTTACAAACAATAATTATTGATGGTTGTTAAACCGTATCTCGGTTACTAACTCGACCTTGCGGTGGAAATTGAGTTAAATAACGTCCTTACTTACATACAATAATATCGATCTAATTCAATCGATTCATACATAGATAACTAAATGTGCTTATAATTTTATGTAAAAGTAAACAGAAATGCTTGAAAGTATTGATTGTAGCAAAGAATATATTAATGTCATGAATTCATTGATTTTATTGTACGATTCCAGCTTTCTATTCAAAGGACTAATACAAAAATCTTTGCTTAAGCGGCTTCGACAATCATTTGGTGACAGGTAAAACATAATGGAATAATCGATGATGTAACGCGAACAATTTTCAATAAAAGCGATGTTATAACTGCCGGGCATCCTGTTCAGTTGTTTACATTGTGACATTGATGGGCGCCATGTTTTGACGTCATCCATTTAGGTAACACCGGCGACGCTACGCTTTGTAGTTTAGGCTATGTAAATCTTTGAATTTTTTTTTTATCCTTGTGTCGAGACTATCGCGTTGCGCACGTTGTGTACACACAACATTGAATCTTCTACCTGAGTCGTCTTGTCAATTCTATAGATTTGCTCCGCCATCTTGAAATTAATGGCGAGTTTTTGGTGACTAAAGAACAAAATCTTAGCGAAGAATGCCTGTGTATAGTCAAACAAAGATATCAGACAAGGTGGGAGAGGCGCTGCTATCGAGATTTTGTTAGAAAATACGTAAAACCTGTCAGATATCTCTGTCGGTCTATATGAGCTCTATGACGCCGCGTTGCGTAAGTCGCTTAGCAACTAAAATCGCCGTGTTTCTTACAAGTTTTCAGCTATGTGTTTTTACAATAACTTACTTAATCAGTGTGTAAATGTATGTAAATATTCACTAAGGGACCCCAATTAGTGACCATTTAACCACCGAGTTTGTTAATAAATATCACTACATGTTTTGAGAGTTACACAATTTTACTCGTCCTTATTTAGTAAAAAGCAAATGAAGGAAGGCATGAATACTACAATGAATAAATTCACAAACCCAGTAATTATAAAAATGCTTATTGATGTGAAACTGGATAAGCAAATAGGACCGGGCAAAAGCGTCACGCGATCGTCAGTCTGAAGATTGGAATGAGGACTGGGGCTTACTCCACCAATTCATAATTAGGGCTACCACTAACTTATTTTAATAATATTTTTCATTCACTGACGTAGTCGTCACATACATATACAAGTAAGAAAATTATATCTTAAGATTTTTTTCATACAAATAAACGAATAAAAGATATTTCTCAAAATAAAATTGGGAACCCTAGTGATGTTATGTTTTTTTTCATCGAATCAATAATGGATGAAACGAGGCTATATTAGTAATTTGGCAACTATAATTATGCTTTCAAATGCCTTAAAAAGTGATAAAAAACTTACAAACGAATTGAGAAGAAAAATAGTAAATATTTTCATAGAAAAAAATCTCATTTGTAATTCTTATATAAAAATGTCTTGTAATTTTGGTACAACCCTAAAGAAGTCTGGTAGATTGTCCGTACCTGTCTGTACCCGCTGCGTGTTCCGAGCAGCACTAGATAACGCCGGGACATCGCCGCGTCCCCTGCGGGAATAACTTGCGTGGTGCCGCACGCAAATTACCAGTAGCGTTTTTTATATACTTTATATGTAATGCGGAATAAAAACGCACGCATAATTACGCAAAAAAACAAAAGAAATAACATGTTGATGATTAAAAAAAAATTCTAAGCTTGCGAATATATTTTCTTGTTCGTTTTTCATAACTATTTTTGTCCTAATTACTTTTAATTCCAAATCTTAAAGAGGAAAAGTTTTTAAAGAAATTCTACAAGATAATAATCTTATATTATATTAAACTAGCTGTCGCCCGTGACTCCGTCCGCGTGGATATATAAACAACTTAATATATAGATAAGTTAAATAAAAAGCAGCTCTTCAAGGCATATATTCGAATAAAATAAAAAATGAATAAATAGTATCCTATGTCCGTCTCCTGGCTCTAAGCTACATCCTCACCAATTTTCAGGCATATCGGTAAAGCCGTTCTTGGGTTATAAATAGTGTTACTAACATGACTTTCTTTTATATATATATATTCCATACATTTTTTACATATTTTTTTTCAGAATGTCAAACATTGCTGTCTCTGTATCTTGAACTTGGCTTATAATCTACACATTTCCTTTCTTTAGCTAACAAATGTCATCGTCCACAATTGTTTCATTATTACCTGCTTAAAATAATCCTGCACAATTAGTAACATAACTTTAAAACTTAACCTTACTCTCTCTTACTATTAGAATCTTTATATTTTTCCAAATAATAAATCATTGGATTGTACAATTCTATCAAATAAATTACAGCAATGTCTTATAAGGAGTCGTCGTGAATGTCTCATTAACACGTGACTAAGAATTATCTTTCATATTTGGTTTAACATACTTTGTGCTAAAACAAGTGCCAAATGCGGACCTGTCCGGCATAAATTGTTGCAAAAACATGCAGTCTTGTTCATTATTTGACTATATAAGGGCTTTTACTAAGCAAAATATTACTTGAATTATGATAACTCATCACGTAATCCTGTCGGTATGCTTTGGTATTATGTACGTACTTGTTATATAATACATAACTTATATACTTTATACAACTTCTCAGGATTAGTCTGATAGTCAGATCTATCAAGACCACGATCAGTCTGGCATGACTAAAACTATCCTATTGATTCCTTATCTTACTAATATTATAAATGCGAATGTTTAGTTGGATTGGTAGATACATGGATTTTGGTTTGAAGTATCTCCAGAACGTCTGAACGGATATCGCTGAAATTTGTCATAGATATAGAACATAGTCTGGAAAAACACATAGGCTATAAAGTTTTTTTCAATTCCGAACAGATGGAGTTGCAGGCAACAGACAAAATAAATCGATGCATCTAAAGAATAGATGTGTAATTACGCAACTTCATATTATCATTCATTTAAATAAAGGTGATGAGTTCACAGTACACAAATATCAGTGAACAGATCACAACATCATCTAAAATAGCAACATCATCGATATTTATACAACATACATACAAAATACATTGTTTACGATGCACCCGGTGCAGTGAACTTGGCAATGGCGGCCATTTCGTAACAGCGCTGACGTGTTGCGTATACGCCGCCATTTTTTGGCGGGAAACACTCTCACCCGGTTCGGTATTCAAAACACGAGTTGCCAAATTATTTTCCTGGCATCTTGTAGGCGAAAACTATTTCGTTCACTTGGCATACATTTATAAAACTTAAGATAATTGGGAAAAGATTTTACAAAGGTACTCGCGAATAAATCTGTAAATTTAATTTAATAAAAGTGGGAAGAATTGAGTAGATATATGAATGTAGCTGTCGCAAGATTCCATCGGGCGGACTAAAAAAAAAACTTAAGCATGCTGTGTGTTCTTCCAGGCTATGTTCTATATCTATGCCGAATTTCATCGAGATCCATGCAACCGTTTTGGATATAACTTCAAACAAACAAACATACGCATTTGTAATATTAGTATGATAATATTAGTATGATGTAATTTTAACATTAAGTTTATTTGTTACAGATGAGCAAGAAAGAGTGCAGAAAAAGACTTTCGTTAACTGGATCAATTCACATTTGTCAAAGGTTAGTACTTCAAAGAAAAGGTTTTGTTCTTTAAAGATAATACGAAATACGTAGGTGACAAATTACTAAACGACTCAACTAAAATGTAAAACATTTGTGTACCTTAGAAGTGACCACTTCAACTTGATTGTTTCTCTTGTTACATAGATCATGAACTACCGATCCAGTCACTGTATTTATGGAACATATCGTTATAATTGCCATAAAATCTTAAAATAAATCCTCGATCTTAGTTTAGTAGCCGTTTTATAATTGATAAATTGTTGCAGCGCATTCCACCGCTTCGTATCGACGATCTGATATACGACCTGCGCGATGGCACCAAACTGCTGGCGCTGCTTGAGGTGCTCTCCGGGGAGAAGCTGGTGAGTAATTCACACCAATATACCTTGAATTATACTATTCAAAATACGTATAGGTAATATGGTTGAAGGAAAACTAGAACTGCGTATAACGGAACAGAATCACGCTATCGTCCAGTTTAGTTACGGAATTTACTACGTCTGATATCGCTAATGAAATACGAGTTCGATATTCTTCTAATTATAATATCTTATTCCTGAATGCACAGTTTAACTTTAAATAGTAACAGAAGCAAAAAAACTTTTTGAATATGTCGTGGCAGTCAAGTCTTTAAAATAGACGCTAATCACAATTATTTTTAGCCAGAATGGCTGAGCTTAACTTAGCTTATTTTATGGGATTAGGTACTTTGGTTAGCTCCACCAAATCTGCCCTTAGTTTTATAGTATATCGTCTTATTACTAATTTCTGTTCTTTGTAGCCGATGGAGCGTGGCCGCGTCCTCCGGCGCCCGCACTTCCTGTCCAACGCGAACACGGCGCTGCGTTTCCTCGCCGGCAAACGCATCAAGCTGGTCAACATCAACGCTGCAGACTTAGTGGACGGCAGACCGGCCGTCGTCCTAGGACTTATCTGGACTATCATACTGTACTTCCAGGTAATTTCTGGTATTTATTTATTTGAAAGGAGAGATTTTGTGCTCAAAAATTTTGTATTTTTGTTTTGTTATGTATTTTTATATTCTTATTTCTTTTGTTAACTAAGATAATTGTAATAAAGTAAGGTCGGCTTTATTAGAATCTTGTCCAATTTTCTTGACAAATGAAACGGCGGCTAAGGAATAATTTAGGAGGGAAAGTAAATTTGTTTTTAATGAAATAAATGCAATGGCAACCGGGAACAAAAGCTTCCAGTTGTACACAGCGTTAGGAGATAGTCATGTGTAGAAAATCTACTCATATTATTTTCTTTAATATTCGTGACGTAGAAATCATAGCGGTACTAAGTAAGACAGTCACTTGTTCAAGTTGCATAGTCATTGCAAGCCAACTTATAATAAACATTGCTTTTTGTTTCTAATGTGCATGTTGCGGACTTTGAAAAGAAGGCATCATACTAGAAACAACCTAATATTGTAAACACAAAGTCAATCTTACTTCTTAATAATATTATAAATGCGAATGTTTAGATGGATGTATGTTTGTTTGACGGCATCTCCAGAATGGCACAACGGATTTTGATGGAATTTGCCACACATATAGAAAATAACCTGGAGGAACACACAGGCTACTTCTTAAGTATTTTTTTAATTCCGCGTGGACGGAGTCGCTGGCGACAGCTAGTTAAATAATAATCCGACACAACAAAAGTATCCAAATAATATTTAATAACAGCGCAAAATGACTTGTTAAATATGATAAATCGCCTACCATTTAAAAATCAAAGATGTCATGACTAATTGAGCTTTAAAATCTTAAAATAAAACTGAGTTCAGCTATTAAAATAACTTTTACAATGGTCGATATTATACTATTATCCTATTTAAAACATAGACCATTTCTCAAAGCGAATAAATCTTAATTTAAAACCTTTGTACCGTTCGCCGCGCCTCACGACTTACTCCTCCGCAAAGCTATTACATTTGAGTTCTTTGTAAAGGAGCGTTTACACTATTCTAATATTTTTATATTTATTTTTTATAAAAATACATCTGTAAAAACAGCAATTGTAACAGCCTGTTCAAATAGATCTTCAGTCTAAATAAATATTGTTTTAGGTCAAAACAAAAAGATTAAGAATCTATAAGTAGTTCTTTATCGAAATAGTGTTAAGTAAAATCAGTCAAATCACAGAGTAGTTAAAATTATGAAGTAAAGTGAAGTCTAAATAGCTGTAAGTCAATATAAATGCAGTGAACACAATTAAATGTAAATACATTCACTTGTGACATGATTTTTGTGACATGTGATTGATGTAGAGAGAGCGCAAATCGATTTGAGAAGCTATTATATTATTCAAAGCGATTTATCATTGTATTGAAATAGCAACTCCACTGACTCATTTGTGAATGACGTACCGTTACAATGATTTGAAAAACCGTGGTTTAGATTGAAGATCAATATATCTTACTTTGACTAATATTATAAACGCGAATGTTTAAATGGATGAATGTTTGTTTGAATGTATCTCCAGAACTGCTGAACAAATCTTGATGAAATTTAGCATACTTATAGAACATAGTTTGGAAGAACGCATAGGCTACTAATTATGTGTTTTTTTTAATTCCGCGCGGAGTCGCGGGTGAAAGCTAGTTAATAAAAAAATCTGTGTAGTAGATGTATGCTGACGGGTACTAATTACACCTTCAATAAAATTTAAATTGGATGTGTATGTCGATCTGCACATGTTCTATATATTTTATCGCCCTTTCTTATATTGTGTAGTGTGTAAGGGTCTTTATATTATAAGTAATTCTACTTTCTCTGCCAATCTCTGTGTCAAACCGTCTCGCAGTACAAAATTAACTTAAACTGTAGCATCAATGCCCAAGACCTCTAACATACAAACGGATACAATTATTTGAAAAAATAAGCTCGGGTTCAGTTTGCTAAAGTCATATTTTTTTTACTTTCGTATTTTATGTTGCGTTCCAAAATTTTTTTGAAACTGAAAAAATCGGATTATGTTTAACCTTTTATAATTTCTTTCTTTCTTTCCGCTTTATTTTATGTTACTAGCTGGTAATAAATTAAGGTACAAGAAAAGCATACTTGTATTTTGTTTAATAGATTGAAAATACTTGAAATAACACTTAGCATAGTGAAATAGAAACCAAAACCTTTAATTATTCACGTAATTGTTGTATTTTCGAAATTAAAACGATATCTGATGTAATTTTAATTGGCTTGAATATAATTTGTTTGCGCAAGCTTCGCTCAATGTATTGGGCCCACAGGATAAAGAGACCGAGGTGGGTACCGTGGCTTTTGGGCACGGGCTGTGTATACGCTGCTTTACAATGCTTCTTGGGTTGCCATAAACATGTTATATTGCCAAAATTGTGGCAAATGGTTTTATATTTATACTACTTTAGTTGCGACTAGCATTTTTTTATCTTTAATCAAGCACTGTGCTTTTTAGCATATTTAAAGCAGAAAAGCGGAAGTCTTGGGTGTTGCCAATTTCAACGATATTATTTATAATTTTACTTGCTTTATGACACGTTTTTATATCTTGACTTATTAAACATACTTATAATGCCTACGCATGTTAATTAGGCGTATTAGCACTGTTGCACATTTTAAAGATCTTTTTAACCTAAATAACATCTAAAGTTCGTAGCAAAATATTATACGTAGAAACGTAGCAAATCACTTCTTAGCAATTTTCTTTTCTTTTTTTTAATGTCTGCTGCACACATCTTCAATTAAGTGTTAAACCATTATCAAAAAGATTACTATCTTTTTGATAATGGTTTTATGTTTCTTTGCTTTATGAATTTGTATATTTTAATAGATTCTAAAATTAAGTAAACAAAGTTATTTAATTAGTGATACAAGAATTATTATAAGAAAATGTCTTCGGCACCAGTCTTATTATTTGCGATATAAAAACATTGCCGATATTTTATTGTTTTGTAAACTTAAGCTTGTTTACTGTATCATTTGAAAAATGTAAAGTCGCACTTGAACGTGCTGTCTATACTTACATGTTTCCAGCTGTATTCTGGATTTTATTCTGGATTTGATCGCTGGACTGGAATATTGTAAACAGGACTATACGATATATATAGGAAAAATCTATTCATTCAAGTTATTGTTTGTAACTAGATCGAAGAGAATAGTCGAGCGCTGGAATACCTGGGTGGGTCTCGCTGCGCGTCCGTACTGTCTCAAGAGTCGGGCGCCGCCACACCCACACACCGCGCCGAGGACCGGTGGAAGCAGGGGGCCAAGAAGACGCTGCTGCAGTGGGTCGCTAACGCACTGCCTAAGTAAGGATACACCACAGAATAAATTGGTCATATTTTAAATGTATTGATAACGTGATATGTACTAACGAAAAATGTAAAACTTGGCATGCGTTATTTCATACGTTCCTTAACTTTATACTAAATAATTTAAATAAACTTTGTCCAACAGAGACTCGAACATCCAAGTGACAGACTTTGGTCCGTCGTGGCGCGATGGTATCGCTTTCCTCGCGATCATTGACGCCATCAAGGCGAATCTAATCAACTTGGCTGAGATGAAGAGGAAGACCAACAGACAGCGGCTGGAGCACGCCTTCGACGTGGCCGAGAACGAGCTGGGCATCGCTCGCCTCCTCGACGCCGAAGACGTAGATGTGGACAAACCCGACGAGAGATCGATCATGACCTACGTTGCTCAGTTCTTACACAAATATCCGGAACCCAAGGTAAAAGAATTATAAATTTATATTCCGATTCATCACTTTTACATTACAATTTTAATCATGTGCTTGTACATTCTCAGACGACAGGACCGGATGCCGTCGCGGCGGTCCAGGAGGAGTACGAATCCCTGAGGATGTGGTTGACGGAGCGCGTTACTGTTGTCCAAAGACAATACGACACGCGGACTTTATCGCGGAACTACGAGGACTACGTCCGTGCCGAAAACGATAGGCTCGCCAGAGAGCCAATATATCAGAAACTCGAGAAGCTCATGTATACACAGAGCCTTGTGGCGATAGCACCCAAATCATGGCGCGAGCTCGTCTCTCTCTGGATCGAGCTGGAGAGACTTCACAGAAGATGGCTTTGGCTCTTAGACTCGGACCTGCCCGGGGATTTCAGGGTTGTCGGCGAGTGGTTGGCTAGAGCCGAATACCTTTTATATTTCGACGAAATCCCCAATAGCTTGGATGAACGAACGGCGGCTCTAATTAGCGAGAAGTTAGAGGAGCATACGTCATTCTTTGCCGAGCTCCCTGACGTTGCGGCCAGGTTCGAAGCGGCGTTGAGGTCTCCGGACGCGGCTAGAATCCCGGCCGAAAGGCTTCACGATATGAAGGAGCGTCTTGAGACTGTCAGTCGCAGAGCTCCCCAGAGGAAAGCAAGGTTAAAATATTTAGAACACAAATGTTGTATTGTAGCTTTCACAGAACTTACAAAAGCAAAGTTAGCAACTTGGACTGCAAAATGCGGTAAAGTTGAACACGTCCGTGCCTTATTAGATGACTATGATAATTTCGTAACTAAAAACAAGATTTTCCAAGAATTTGACAAAGCCTACGTTGACATCAAACAAGTAGCAGAGGAATACAAGAGAGTGTGTGAAGTAGATAGAACTGAAGCGAGAGAAATCGATGCATTCTTGAGAGAAATTTCGGAGACTTGGAGAAGAGTCGCCTCCGACGTGAGGTGTGCACGAAGCGTGCTCGAAGAGGTAATCGCTCACTGGGAGAGATGGACTGTACTTGTGGAACAGTTTACTACTTGGTTAGACAAAGCTCAACATATGTTAAGAGTATCCGAAGACGAGGGTTTGGAATTCTTCCATGATCTAACGGTTTGGAAAGAGAAACACCAGCTTTTAGGCGAGACTGCTGGATTTTTGGCTGCGACATGTACCGAAGAAATAAGTTCAGAAGTCAAGAGAAAATACGTGGAGATAACAGAAAGATGGGAACGCGTTTGGGATGAGGCCGAACGGTGAGTTTTTAAAGAAATTTTATTGACTGTCTGTTTTACAGCCATAATTACCAACTTTTTCTTCTTCATATTAAAGGTACGTCCGTGGTGGAGACGCTCTCCGGCACCGCCGTGAGCTAGCGTCCGGCATTCAGAAGTTGGACAACTGGCTAGCCAGCGCCGACAACCTGCTGTCCCGCCAGCCGCGCGCCAACACCACAGAGATACAAACCTATATCGACAAGCTGATTCAGCTCAACTCTGAAATTGAACATCACGAAGAGTTATTCAAAACTATTAGCAGGTAATTAGGTGTTTTTATACCATTGTTGATATAATAGATTCATATAGTCTCAATACCCTTAACTTAGCTGGTGATACTCTAACTCGTAGACCAATTCTCGTAATTCTTTCACTATTTTAGGACCTTCCAAAACGCGATTGCGGATCTGCCCCGTGACGAGGTCGAGTCCAACATGACCAAATTAAAGCAGCAGAAGGAAGCGCTTGTGAGAGTGCGTGCCACAGTGCCCGTCAAGCTGCACCAGTACAGACAGCTGCTCGTACAGCATGAGTCGCTGGAGAGCGGCCAGAAAGAGATCGGACAGTGGCTGGACAAGGCCGACGAGCTGCTGAGGACCACCACAGAGACAAGAAGGTATACTTAGGGTATATTTTGATTGATCGCGAATCAATGTTTGACCTAATTTAATGACTGAAAATTCAATGCTAAGTTTTAATGTTCGTATTTTTACAAACAGAGAAGTAATAGAAGAACGTTACGAGGTGCATCGCACATTCTTTTCCCGCACGACCTACTACCGCTCTATGCTGGAGAGCAAGAACAAGGTGTTCCAGAACATTGTCCGAGCCGCCGACGTTGACCGCAGCGCAGACGTCACCGACCAAGTGCGGTTAATGAAGGATCTAAATGATAGGTGAGAATATGTGGAGGCTACTATACTGAATTTAACTACGTAATTTTCAATGTTTTTAAAATTTAAATAGGAAAATTGTAATAATTGAAAAAGTTATAAATGCATTTTCATATATAATAAGATGAATATCCAAAAAAGGTTCTTTTATAAAAAAGTAAATCTGTCATTGTCAAATGTAAAAGAATGACACATGTCACTTATCTGACTTCAAAATTCAAAACAAATTTCAAAATACAAGTTATTTCGGCCCGATTAAATCATTGTTATTATATCAAATTAATAATTTTATTTATCTTTGAAAATTCTCTGCGTCATACCATTTTTAATAATATTATTTGTAAGAAGTTGTAGCATTAAAATAGTTTAAAATTGGACATTAAACAAGTACAGATGTTTTAAAATAAAGTTCTAAAAAGTTCAACTCATCAATCATCTTCTGTTTGTCAATAGAAACAATTTAATATTACGAATATTTCAATATATCTATTTACTACAGATTTGCGCACATATCATCGGAGGCTACACGCAAAGAATCAGAACTACAGCGTCTTGTGCGAGCGTGGGATGAGTTCGAAACAAAGAAACGTGCTGTTGAAGAATGGGCGTCAACAGCCGAAGCCTTGCTATCCGACAAGAGAGTTGACTCAAAGCAGGCTGTTGACTTCCACAAGAGATTTTTCCAGGGTGCCGATGAGAGAGCTGTGTCGGAGCTCGTTCGTTCTGGGAGGGAGCTAATTGAGGTAAATCATCACTTATTATCACTTTTAATTGCTACCAAAAATATATGTTATAAGTACTATAAATTTTATTTATTATATTTGCAGCTGGTGAATGCAGAGGACAGGCCCCGTGTTGTGCAGACTGTAGAGGAATTACAGAGACGTTGGAAGGAGTTGTTAGACCGAGCACCCCCACACCTCATGCGACTTGAGTTCCGTCTGGATGAGACTGTATTCCATCACTGTATTAAGGATATAGAGAAAGAACTTGTTTACGAGGAGCAGGTAATGTTGAGATCCAAGAAGGTTAATTAGTGAAAGTAGTTTTATAATTTTTTTGTTATTTTTAAGTAGCCTAAAAGTTTACTTAGTTGAGAAGCATTCTTAGTTACTGTTTGTTTATTATTAGTAAGAAGCTCTTTGAAATCTTTGGTAATAAAGGGTTGTTACAACACAAACTAATTTTACAGGCCTACAACCAAAGTGACGATGCTGATGGTATCCTTATCAGAAACGAAATGTACTTCCGTAACCAGGGGAAGGTAATGCAAGTGGAACAATGCCTTCAGAATCTCAAGAAGATATCAACGAGTTACACACAACAAACAGGAGACAGTACGTTAGATGAGGAGGTACGCAAGTGTGAGCAACAATGGGAATCAACGGTCCACCGAGTAGAACATTTCAGACAACAGTTGCAAAGGATTCCTGCAAAATGGGATGCATATAGAGAGAAATTCCAAGAGATGGAAAAGTGGATGGACCATGTTGACAAGACAATGGACAGTATTGTCAGAGAAGTGGACTCTGCGGAAGCATTTGAAAGAGAGAAGACTATATTCCAGGTAATTTGTTTTTTGTATGGAACAAATAAAGTCATAAACTGTTGGACCAATTTTAAAATTTCTTTTGCTATAAGAAAGCTATATGTTCACTGAATACTTAGGCTACATATATTACTAGAGTTTTTTTTTAATTCTGACAGACAGACAATAAAGTGATCCTAGTAAGGGTTCCTTTTTTCTCTTTCGAGGTATGGAACACTAATTAGTTGATAATAACAGTGTAGTTAGGTTCTAATTAGTTTGTCAAAATGCCGATATTAAATTTTCATTGGTTTTAACTGCTTTTGAATTTTTACCGCTTTCTTTGGATAAAGCTGAGGGAGTTAATGGTAACTATATTAGTTAAAATGCCTTTTGTTTTTATAAATATATAATTTCTTAGTTTATCTTACAAATTAAAGATTATAAATCTTTTTAACTGATTAATCATTTAATTCTTCTCTATTAGAACATCTGCCGTGAAGCTGATAGGAAACGAGAGGACATGAAATGGTTAGTGCAAACATTAGATATGCTCACACACCACTGCTCCGAGATGGAGGCCCAGGATGAACAGATCAAACTAGAAAATCTTATACAGAGATACAAAAATCTAATACCAACAATTGAAATAACTATGATAAAGACAGAAACGTATACAAGATGTTATACATACAGACGTGAAGTCCATGAAGTTATCTGTATATTGGAAAGTGCTCAGAAGCAGGCCATGGTTGAACCCGAGCCTCAATCACTGCAACAAGTGGAGCAGCTGGTGCTCGAGCAACAAGCCGCTGTGCAGAAGTTAGACAGGCATCGGCCTTCTGTAATGTCAATGCTGCAACGCGGTAAAGAACTTATTAAGGACGCTAACGCTCCAGCATTTGTAAGAGAAGACGTAAGAAACTTGGAAACCGGCTGGAATACGGCCTATGAAACTTCGACAGATCGCCTTTATAAGTTACGTGATACTCAAAAGGTCTGGTCCAATTATGAATACCAGAAAGAAGAGTTGCTATCAGATATCGACAAAATTGAGAACTATGTCGCTCATCCCGGCTTAGAATTGGGAGTTACAAATATTAGCCGTGAACTACATGAAACTAAAGTTATCAATGAAGACATCGAAAAAGCTAAGAAGGAAAGACTGCCGCAGTTACAACAGGCATACGCTCAGCTGCAATCGCTCACAGCCAACAAACCAAAACCTGTTATAGAAAAAGATTTGGAAACTATCGAAAGAAAATTGGAAAGAGTTCAAGATGAAGTTCACACGAAAGTCGAGCATCTGGAGAAATTTAACGAGGAATGGGTTAAAATCGAACGTAAACTGGAACACGTTCGTGAATGGATCAAGAAGGAAAGTCCCGCTTTGATATCTGAAATACGTTCGGATAATATTTCCCCAGAGGAGAGAGTCGAAAAGTCTCAAAGCCTACAGAAAGTAATCGCAGAAAAGTTGAACGTTATCAAAAATGTTGCCGAACAGGGAACTAAGTTGGCCGTCGAACATCGTGTCCAGGACGCTAACAGGCTTAAAGGGGAAGTCGCGCTACTAGAGAAAATGATGGCCGACTTACAGCGCTCCACAGAACATCAGACTAAAGTTGTCGAGCATGACCTCGCGAGCTGGCAGAAATATCAAAAAGGTGTTGCTGAAATCAAACCATGGATTGAGGAGGCAGAGATTAAATTGGGTACTGTACCTAAGCCATCGACGTTGCCCGAAGCTCAGCAACTGCAACAACAATCAAGGGCTCTAATCACAGACTGTGAAAAGCAATTAATGAATTTGCAAATTCTCTCCAGTGTTAGTCATCAATTATCCGGAAAAACTAGTGCCCCTGACGAAGTGGACGCCATTCACTCTCGCTGGGCTGTCGTTCACGATCAAGCCGACCAGTGGAACAACAAATTGGAAAAACTTATTGTTAATTGGGAAAACTTTGAACGGGAAGCAGAAAAAATTGAGAGTTGGATAGAAAACGGTGAGAAAATGTTGAGTAGCCGAAACATAACAGTCGAGTCGCCACAGGTGGAAAAATTAGACAGAGAATTAAATAAACTTAAATCATTCGGAAATGAAATTTCACAGCAGCAAGCCAAAATTATTTCCTTGTCACAGACGTGCGACAACATTTGCCATAACATTCAGCCGGAGGGTGCAACTTTATTGAAAAATAAAGTGTCCGACATTAAGGACCGCACTAATACGCTCGCCGAGACGGTGCGAAGTAAAATAAATGAACTTTCGGATAAGATCATTGTCCGCCAAGAATTTTTGACTAAACTTCATAACTTTGACAATTGGATCAATGACTTCAGAAGAAAAACAGAAAGTTTTGATCAGGTAGACGCTGGTAAAGTTGAACCATCGCTACAATCCATGCACGTCCTGCTCCAGGAACATGCTGCTAAAGCTCCTGAATTTGCTGATATTTACAACGAAGTTAAAAATATGACTCTAACATCACATCCTGATGAATCTCGTACTTTAAGTGACACATATTCGAATATAGCGGAGCATTATCAACTAATCGAATCAAACATTCAACAAAATAAAGCCATATTGAAGAAGTGGTCCGATTTGCTAAATTGGTATGAAGATACAAAGCAACAGTTAGGTCACATTCAGTATCAAATTGAGGGACCTAAACTTACACCTGAGAGCTACGAAGTTCTGCGCCAAGAACTTGTCAATGTTATAACAAAAGTACCAGAGATGAAGAGCAATGTTGTTTTGTTAGACGGACCATCAAAGGTCAAGGTGACTGATCAAAATACAGGCAGAATAATTTCGCCAGTAAGTTTGGTAAAAGAAATCGAGGTTAAAGCAGAGGCTTTGCTTAATCAAGTCACATCCAAACGAGACTTGGTACAGAAAGTTGGTGCCAGGTGGGATAAATTTAATTTACAACATCAAGCAGTATCAGAAGTTTTACACAATATTCAATCGACTTTAAATGAAATGGCTCAAAAACCAGTACCATTGACAGAAGCTGCCATTCAAGATTTATCAGAGCAGTTGGATACTCTAGACACGGAGCTTAAAGAAAAACAATCTGTTAGAAAGGAGCTCCGCGAGGAAGGTTTACATTTGATGAGAGAAGATCAACCTAATATGGGAACGATTCAAAATTCATTGTCGGCGGCTGACCATAACTGGGATCAAGTAGTTAATACAGTGCGTGATACCAAGAATAGGTACATTTTATTGTCATCAACACTACAAGAATTAAAGAACTTTACTGTGGCATTTGATAGAGAGATGAGCAGAGCTCAACAACTACACAACGAGTGCAAGGATGCACCAAACGACTATGTACAGACCGCTCAAGCTCTGGATAAAGCAAGAAAATCTTATGAAATACTTAAGCGGTCTAAGGGTTTGTTAGATCAAATGGATGTTATCAAACAATCAGTTCTAAAACAAGCGTCCACATTAGGAGGATTCGACACTAGTCCTTTGGAAAATGCATTCTTGGAGTCCCAAACACAATGGGAAAAAGAAAATGATGCTATCATCAAAAGAATTCAAGACCTGGAATCTCAACTTCTTGTTTGGCGACAAATTGACGACACGAAGAATCAAGTTGTAACCTGGTTAAGTGAAACTGGACAAAATTTGTCAAATGCCTGTGATAATTTAGAAATAAGGTTTGGACAAAATCATCTCACTAAATACAAAGAAGAGTTACCGATATACACAGGACTTAAGAACAGTATAAAAGCTAAGTGTGAACAGATAACTAACCTAAACAAAAATATTCCTATGGGTCAAGTTTCTTCGATCATTGATTACCTCGATAACGAATTCGAAGCTTTGCAGACGCTAGCTACTAATTTAGAAAGCGCAGTGTCGTCCTTAGAATCTAAAGAAAACAAATTAAAGGAGAAGATAAAACGCTTGTCTGATAATATAAGCAAAATTCGGGATGATATTATTAAATGCGACGACATGTCTGGTGATAATTCCAAGATTTTAGATCGCTTAAAGAAATGCCAAGCTTGTAAAGTTGAATTACAAAATCTAAGCGAAGAAATCGATAACCTCTCTCAAAACGTCTCTGAAATGAATGCTAATTATCCAGGCTTTTACGAATCATTGGTGCCTAAAGAACTAAGCACCTTACAAAAGAGATTTGAAAGCGTTTTAGTTCATGCCAATAAAACCGAAATAACTCTTCTGACATTCCTGCAAAAACTTTTTACTGATAAACTCAGTATGTTTAATAGGAATTTGAAGATTTTAGACGATAAAACAAGATGGTGCGTTCCTGATGTCTCAAGTGACAAATACAACCTAGAAGTTAAAGCCGCCGCTCTCGCTGATGTTGAAAGTGGGATTGCCGATTGCAAGCAGAAAATTACGGAATTAAAGGAAGCCTGTGAAATATTACGCGTCGTGGCGGAACCGGCAACAGCACAAGAAGCAGCAATTCAAACAGAAAAAGCTCAGAAGAATCTGGATGTATTGACCTCCAATTGCGAAGAAATTAAAAATAGTCTACAGGAGAATATTGGAGCATGGCAAGAATATGAAGTATTATTAGAAAATGTCTCGGAATGGTTAAAAGAAAAAGAAAATTTAGTAAGACAAGAGGCTGCGAATCTACTAGATGCTAACCTTATACAGAACAAGATAACTGAAATTGAAAAACTTAATAACGATGTGCAGAAATATGGAGATGAAGTAAATAAACTAACTGAAATCGGAGATAAGATATTATCTCGTAATCCTGAATCTCGAGTGTCTCAAAATATTAACCACTTAGCAAGCAGATACCAGGCTGTCAGCAAGTTTATGGATAATCATTTGAATAGACTTAAAGAACTCAAAAACAATAAGGAGAAATACGACAAGTCAATTGTGGAATTTAAGAATTGGCTTTCTGATGCCAACGCGAGGATAGCAGATTTAGCAGCTATGAGTAAACATGCGAAACCATCAGCAGCTGATTTAGCACAAGTTAAAAGATTGAGTGAAAACAAAGATTTGGGCCAAAAATTGCTTAATAATGCTATCGAATCAGGGGAGGCCTTATTCAGTGGAATCAATCCTGAAGGTCGAGAACAAATTCGTAACGAACTAAGAGCATTAAGAGATTACTTTGAAAATTCAGTGGATTCATTGAATAACGTGATTAAAGATATAGAAACAACTATAAACAAACGATCATCCTTTGACGATACTTTTAATCAAGTACAGAAATGGATTAGTGATAAAGAAAATGAATTAGGTGATTTCAAGTTATGTGCTACATTGCCTGAAAAGAAGGCGCAACTCCATGCCAATAAAATTTTACATCAAGAAGTAGAGCTTCATGAATCAATGCTTACTCAGCTTACGGAAAAAATCAAGTTAATGCCAGACGAAGAAGCAGAAAAAAGTCTGTCTAAAACTATTGAACGATACAGAGAAATGACGAATGAGCTTGCAAAGAGAATAGCTACATGTGAGCGTCATGTTGCTGATCATGAAAAATATGTCCAAATGTTCGAAGATTCTCGTGATCGTCTCAACCACATCGTTGCAGAAAATAGCATGCTTACATACAGTGTGGTAACCCAAAAAGATGATGTTGACTCTAAGATTTCAGCGATAGAAAAAGTCACATCGCAAGGACCAAACATTCAAAACATTCTAGACGAACTAAAATCACAGCTACATATAGTCTTGGAAAATACGAGTCCAAATGGTCATCCCGTGCTTATAAGTGAATATGAACAATTAAAAGCCACTTGGACTCAATTCGCTACACAATGTGAAGAACAAGACAAGAAACTCAAAGAAATGTTGAAACAATGGAACGAGAGCCAAAAAACATTAGATGAACTTGAAGAATGGCTCAAAGTAAAAGAAAACCAATTAAGAGATCAAAGTCTTAAAAATAATCTCGAGGCTAAAATAGGTCATTTGCGAAAAGTGAAAGAAATACGAAATGAGTTGGCCTCGAGAAGTGGGGACTTTACAGATTTAACCAGCAATAAACAAAATGTTACCAGTGAGTCAGACCTCACAAATAAGACATCTAAATTAGCTACTCGATACCATACATTAAATAATCTTGTGAACGAAATTATTTCCAAATATGAAGTATTTGTAGCTGAACATACTGCGTTTGAGAAAGATTTTAACGACATGGAAAGCTGGTTAATGAATATGCTCGGAGAACTTCAAGATTTGAATGAAATAGTAGGAGATTATGCTGTCTTACAAGAAAAACAAAACAAAGCTAAAGAGCTTTATGAAACTAGAAATAAGAAGACTCCTGCATTTGAAGAATTCCTTAGTTTGGGTGAAAAGTTATACGCACACACAAGTCCCGATGGCAGGGAAGTGATCCGCCAAAAAATTAGAAAGATACGGACTCTCTGGGACACATTCGGTGACAATTTCCAAGAAACAGTTAACAAACTTGACCAATGTCTCTTACAATTCTCTGACTTTTCATTAGCTCAAGAGCAGTTGACTAAGTGGCTGAAGGACGTTGAAAGAGCAATGCAGCGTCATACTGAATTAAAAGCTTCCTTAGAAGAAAAGAAAGCTCAACTACAGAATCATAAATTAATGCACCAGGAGATTATGACTCATCAGCAGCTTGTCGAATCTGTTTGTGATAAAGCCCAACAGCTGGTTGATCAAACACATGATGCATCTTTAAATGTATATTTGCAATCAATCAAACAACTATTCCAGAATATTGTAACCAAATCGCAAAACTTACAGGATAATTTAGAAGATTGTGTGAAACGCCATGAAGATCTTGTACGCCTTATTCAACAGTTTAAAGAGTGGTTAAGTTCGCAATCAGAAAAAGTACTTGATTGTGAAAATGCTGCCGGAGAAAAACCCGAGATCATCAGAAAATTACAGGCTGTTACAGCTCTCAAGGACATTGAAAAGGTCGGATCTCATAAATTAGACGAAATTCGAAGCATATTTACATCTGTTAGTAAGAGTACATCGGGAGCTGGAAATGCCGCGATTAAATCAGAAATCGATAACTTACACGACCAACTTCGTAAAGCTATTGATAGTATAGGATCTTCAGAACAAAAACTGAAACACACTTTGGATATTTGGAACAAATTTGATTCCTCCATCGAAGCTATTACTGAATGGTTAAAAGACATGGAAACGAAATGTCGCGACCAAGCACTCTGCTCAACGCTAAAAGAAAAGGAGACACAGTTACAAAGATACGTTGATCTTCGTAATGGTATTCACGCTAAGGAAAAAGAAATTGATTCCTTTGTAGACGAGTCACATAATCTCATTCAAGTAAGTGGTGTAGAGAGGCTTAAGCCTCTTGTGACACAAGTAAGTAGCCGATATCAACAGTTACACGTAATTTCAAAGGAAATTGTAAATCATTGGTCTGAAGTGGTAAACGACCATAAGAAATATATTCAGCTACGTAACGAATTTGACGCTTGGCTAAAACCTTTGGAGGAACAACTCTCACAAATGACTACAAAAGAAGATAAACTGAGTATTGAAAGCAAAGGAAGCAAGTTACAAGTGTTTTTGCTTGAACGAGATAACGGTGAACATAAAATTGGAATTTTGACCACAGCAGGTGACAAAGTTTTACCCGAAACTGCTGCAAACGGCAGGGAAGTTGTTAGATCCGAAATCCGGGACTTGAGAGAACGATGGGATAGACTAAATGACAGCATATTGCAACAACAAAAAGAATATGAATCTCAAACATTACAATGGTCTAGTTATCAAGAAGTATTACAACAGACATTATCTTGGTTAGATGAAAAAGAAAAGTTAGTTGAAAGCGAAGAGAAAGCTGTATTGAACTCGGCGCAAGAAATCAAATCGAAACTCCTTAAAAATAAAACATTATTACAAGAAATTTACTCCCACAAACGAGTTATTGAAACTGTTACTGAAAAAGCTAAAAGTGTAGCTTCTTCGTTGCATTCTGGCAAAGAACAGAGTGACGAGATGACGTCAATTATTCAATCGGTTTGGGACAGATATAATACGTTGACTAATAGGTTGTCAGCAGTTATTGACAAGCATGAAAGTACATACGAAATCTACCAACAATTCGCGGACCAACAGAAATCGTTACAAGACTACCAAAAACACCTCTGGGATCGCTTACACCTCTTATCCGACTTTACTGGAACTAAGGCTGCACTACAGGGCAAGTTAGCTAAACTTCAAGAATTACTAGATGCTATTCCAAACGGCAGCAACAAGTTGAAAATTTTGTCAGATCTTATAGAAAGTAACAATGAGAAATTATCGCCCAGGGGTAGAGATGCTATGTCCCGTGAATTAAGTCTTCTCAGAGCTGATCTTGAAAAGTTTACTACGACCGTTCACGACGTAAAGCGTGGTATTGAAGACAAAATACAACAATGGATCGAATTCGATAGCGCAAACGACCGTCTTCAACATTGGCTAAGTGATACTGAAATGAGCCTGAAAACCTATACACCCAAAGCTACTTTGGAGGAGAAGGTTGATCAACTTAATAAATATCAGGTACGTATTAAATTTTATTTGATTCTAGAGATGTAACACTGAATCTAATTAAAACATATGTTGAACAGGATTTATGTAAAGCAATTGATTATCACGAGAACGATTTGAATGTTGTCATACGTTTGGGTGAAGCCTTGGACCAAGTAAGACTTATAAAAAAGAAGTTTTTACAATTTGACTTCTGCACTGTAAAAGTTAAAATAATTTTCAGTAGTGTCTAATATCACCAAAATTAATTTATTTTAGACTCTAACTCAAGGGAATATGAGAATTTCGAAGTTCATCTGTTCTATGATCTTTATTACTTTTTATTATAACGGTTTATACTAACTACAAGTGGGTTTGGTTCTTATTAGAACTTTGGTATACTACAAATAATCGTATAGTGGCGTTACTTACTAATTGTAGTTGTCGTAGTCTAGTTTAAAAGAAGTACCAATTAATTCTAGTTAACTATATTAATTAAGAAATAAATCTATTATTTTCTTACAGGCAATTTTAGCTAACCTTAAAAAGACAGAAAATGACGTTGATAAATTAACTGATGAGTTCAGTGATCTTATTGAAAATTGTAATGACACCAGAATTACAATGAATCTACAACAAATGACCTCGCGTTTCCAATCTGTGCATTCCACAGCTAAAGAGCTCGTCAAGAAATGCCAGCAGGCTGTCAATGATCACGCTGCATACCAAGACAAGTATAACCAATGTACCGATTGGATTAAGACCGCTCAACTGAAGTTCGAGGAGTGCCAGAAGAACTTGTCAAATACTCCTGATGGAATCAACGCGAAACGAGAAAGTCTAAATGAGTTACTAAGCCAACAACGTAACGCGACACTTTTGGTAAACAATACAGTTGAGCTCGGAGAAAAGTTATATCCTTCGACGTCACCTGAAGGAAAAGAGTTAGTAGAACAACAATTACAAGACATCCAACAAGCAGTAGACAACCTATTCGATAGTATTAGTAAGGCCGAAAGAAACTTGGATTCCGAACTCAGCAAGTGGTCATCGTTTGAAGACAATTTGAAAACAGTTCAGCAATGGCTTACTCTCGCTGAAAAGAATCTTCCTAAAGACATAGAATTAAAGGCAACATTGGATGAAAAACGTAATCAATTGAATGTCTATAGAAATTACTTGCAAGACGCAATTGCCCACCAACAAGACATTACTGATTTAGAAAGTCGAGCTCAAAACTTGCCAGATGTCACAAAAGATATTTCAAAAGAAATCAATCAACTTAAACAAAGACATGAAGCTATATTAGCAAGAGCGAAATCCTTCGTTGAACAATACGAAGCTATTGTTAATAACCACCAACAATATACTAAAGCGGTCATGGATCTTCAGGAATGGGTAGAAGCAACGCACAATACTGCTCAATTATGGGGAGACGTGAACTTAGAAAGGGTGGCTTTAAGCAGTAACTGTGAAAAGTTAAAATCATTACAAATTAATTTACCGGAAGAAAAGAATCGTATTGATAAGATACGCTCTTTAGGAGAGAATGTTTTGCCTGGCACTATAAGCAGTGGACAAGCTAACATCAGAAATCAAATTGATGCTTCTCATCAAGAATGGGAGGGATTGGTTTCCTTCATCAATAAAACAATTGAAGGTTTAGAAAACAAGATTCAGCAATGGAATGAATATGAAAATATGAAGGATCAATGTTTAGCTTGGATAAGAAATACGGATAATCAAATACATGCAGTCGATCTCAAAGCAACATTAGCAGAAAAACAAGACCAATATAAACAATTCTTGGAACTGCAAGGAGAGGTCCGTGCAAAAGAACTTGAAATTGATAATATTACAGAAAAAGCACAGCATCTTTATACGGGAATGCTAGGTCCGCGAGGATCGCAAATATCTGACCTTACTGTAAAATACCAAACATTATCTCAAAAAGTGAAAGATTTAACCAACAGATGGCAGCAATATGTAAAGACACATCAAGAATTTACTAGCAATGTTGCAGAGTGTTCTCAATGGATTGAAGAGTTCAGAGATAAATTAGATTTCTGTGCAGATTTAAGTTCGGCTACACAAGATGACTTGGAAACAAAACTAGTCCTTATACAAAATCTATTGTTATCGAAAGATGAAGGATTTACTAAGGTGCAATCATTGGTAGAGCTAGCACAAAACGTAATGGCTAATACCGCACCTCCTGGCCACGAAGAAATAAATAATGCTTTGGTTACGCTACAGGAACAGTGGTCAGCGCTATTGTCTAGAATGATAGAGACTAAAAATATATTGAATGACTCTGTTACAAAATGGGCTGGATTCTTAGAGCAAATTCAGTTTGTTGATAAGAGTAATGCTTGGCTTGAAAGTATGTTGGCAGAGTTAACGCCATTCGAAAGTTCAATGTCAGATAAACGAGCTCAACTTGAGAAACTTAAGGAAGTCGAGGAAAAAGCAAGATGCGATCGCTTAGACGTTGATACAATGAAGGCTAAGGCTGCTGAAATGATCGCGAGCGGTCAACAAAATCAAACTGCTACGAGGGCTCAAGAGGCTCTTAACAAGTTTGATTCTCTTTATGATAAAATCAAAAAACTACTTTCAGACCGTGAGGAACAGTACAAAGACCATCGTTTGTACAAAGAGGCGCACGATGAACTTATTCAGTGGTTGGGTAGAGCTAGAGAAAAAGTTCCATCCTTAAAATCAAAACCTTTGAGTGATAAATTAGCAATCGAGAATGCCGTAACTCCGTTAGATGCATTAATAAATAAGCAAGCTCAAGGAGAACTATTATTAGAACACTTGCAACATACTGGTGAAGTAGTCTTAGCTAGTACATCACCTGAAGGACAGACAGTAATTAAGAACGAAATGAAAGCTCTTAAAGAAAGCTTCGATGACCTCTTCAATGAAATCAAGCAACAAAAGACTCAATTGGAAAATACTATTAGTCAGTGGCGAGAGTATAAAGATGAGTACGAAAGGCTTTCCGACTGGTTGCAACAAAAGGAAATTCTTATTAAAAATCATAAAGTAGCTCTACTTGGAACGGCTAAGGAAAAAGGAGGTCAAGTCAATGAAGTTAAAGAAATTGTTGATCAGCTGCATAAAGGCAAGGTTGATATTGAAAAATTCAATTCGTCAGCAGCCGGCCTCCTATCTTCACATCTTGACACGTACGTTAATAATCAGTTACGTCATCTTAATTCAAGATATCAAGTTCTTATCAACATGGCTAATGATGTTCTGAAAAAAGTAGAAACTAATTATGAACAGCACCAAACATATGACGATAACTATGTCAAGACAAAGAAATGGATCGACGACGCTTGGGAGATCACACGTAGCGGTAGTGAAGCTGGAAGCAATAGTAGCAAAGAGGCCTTACAAAAACGCTTGGAACAAATCGAAGATCTTTTGAAGCGTCGCGAGGAAGGCCAGAATCTCGTTCACGCTACTATCAATAGCGGAGAAAAAGTTTTAAGAAATACTCGATCAGACGGTAAAGATAAAATAAACACGGAACTTAAAGAATTACAAAGCGAGTGGGACCGTCTGGTGAAGAAAATGACAACAGCGAAGGTTCATCTTGAGACTGCGTTGCTACAATGGGCAGATTATAGCTCTAGTTATTCTCAGTTGCAGCAGTGGATCACGGACAGAGAGGCAAAACTACAAGAAGTATGTGAACAAAAGGTTGCCAAGTCTAAAAAGGGGCAGGATCGTGTAGCGGGTCTTACGACCGGTCTAAGCCTCGGAGAAAGAAAAGCAACACTCCGTCAAACAAACAATATTGTGCAAGATATTGTTTCCTTTGAACCAATGATACAGTCTGTAACTTCCAAGGCTTCAGAGTTGATGCAGCAAGCTCCGGCGTCTGAAATTACTAGCAAATACGAGACCTTGACGAAACAGGCTAAAGATTTATATGAAAAACAGAAGGAGACAGTGGAACAACATCAAGCATTTATCGACGCCGGTACAGACTTTGTCCAATGGATAAGAGCCGCTAAGGAAAGACTAGGAAAGTGTTCCGATGCAACCGGAGATAAAGAATCCTTGAGTAGCAAAATATCACAGCTAAAAGTGTTAGAAAGCGAACTTCCCGATGGTCAGAAGAAACTGCAAAAGGCCCTCGAGCTTGGAGAAATTTCTTGCAGTCTAGCGGACGAGGACGACCGCGAGGAGATCGAGGAAGAAGTGGCTCTCTTGCAGGAAGAGTTCGATACCTACGTGTAAGTATAGTTTTCATTAATTAGTAACAATAATACAATCCCCTACATTAAAAATCTTCTTCGTCGAAATTATTTACGAAATCTATACTACTTATAATAACAGAATCTTAAATTAAATCAAAATTATGATAGTTTCCATATTTGTTTCAAATCTTAAAGAAATTTGTCACTGTCTACCCACAGAGAGCAATTAAACAACACGAAGGCTTTAATAGAGGGAGGTATCGTTAAGTGGACAGAATACGAGGAACAATATAAGGAAGCCTTGGATTGGTTGTCGAAGACTGAGAAACTCGTACAATCTTTCAACAAGCTGCAGAACAACTTAGAACAAAAGAAAGTCGTTCTTGAAGAGTTCCAGGTACAACTCGAAAACTATATTTTTAATTTTATTTATTACATATCTGTACTGATTATAAATCTTATAACTTCCTTAGGGTCACCTCCAAACGCTATTCGACTGGCAAGCGGAGTTGGACAAACTGAACATGAGAGCGCAGACTCTGCTGGAGACGTGTGCAGACACCAGGATTTCCAATGGGATCACTCAGCTTACCACTAAGTACAACGCTCTGCTCTCTCTTGCCAAGGAGGTGATGAAGAGACTAGAGCTGCATTACCAGGTCAGTCTTAGAAATAGAACATAGAAAAAGAACACTTCATTGGAAACCATCTTAAACTTGGTACAATGTAATTTTATTTGCAGGAACATCAACAACACAACGCTCTATACGGTGAATGCCAAGATTGGTTAGACAGAACTCGAGAGAAACTCAACCAGTGCGCCGATATACCCAACAATCTGCAAGAAGTCAATAATAAGTTGAACACGATCAAACTACTGCGTCAATCTTTGGAGCAGGGTCAGAACAAGTTGAGATATCTTCTAGAATTGAAAGAGAAGGTCATAATGAACACTGAGCAAGCCGGCGCCGCCAAGATACAAGAGGATACGGATAACTTGAAGCAGGAATTCGATAAGCTGATCGCTGATCTGCAAGAAGTTAGGAATAAGTTAACTAGCAGAGCTTCTCAGTTTGATGATATTTCTAAGGTAAGTGATTAAAAAAAAATCAAATACTAGCTGTAGCCCGCAACTCCATTCGCACGGAATTAAAAAAACTTAGTAGCCTTTGTGTTCTTCCAGACTGTGTTCTACATCTAAGCCGAATTTCAGTGTGATCCATGCAGTCGTTCTGGATTTACCTTCTAACTAACATCGGTCTATCCATCCAAACATTCGCATTTTTAATATTAGTAAGAGTGCTTTTTTTTAGATTCACAAACTCCTTGTGGAATGGCTTGATGATATCGACCAGAAGATCCAATCGGATGATTCCCTACTCAATGACCTGTCAGAAAAGAAAGCCAAGTTAGAAAAGTTTAGGACCTTCAACCGAGATATTGACTCGCACAAAGATTTGGTCAACAAACTCAATGAGAAGCTCCAAGAGGATGCTTCACTCAAATCTAAAGATATAGAAGATAGTCTCCAAAGATACGGAGACATCAGGAAGACTGTTAGTGATATGATCGCCGTAAGTATTTATTCTATTAAGAATGGATGGGAAAGTGAAGTGGATTTTTTGGAAGAGGGACGCATAGGAAGGGGAAATACTGTTTCTGTGCCTCCCCTTTTTTGTCGATTAAAGGTAGACAACGCTCTGCAATTGCAGATGCCCATAGGCAACGGTTGCTTCGCTATTTATGTGAATTTAGATGGCCGCTTGTTCATTTGCCACCATAAAAATATTTTTTTTACTGTATCTATTTACGGATATAAAAATTGTTTATTTTATTTTCGTTCAGAAACTGGAAGATTACGTAAATACACATATTCAATACAAGGAATCATACGACAGTTTCTATGATTGGATACGCAATTGCAAAATCGAAATACAACAATGCTCGGACTCACACGGAGAGAAGAAAGAAGTACAAGAGAAACTAAAGAATGTCAACAAAATCATTAAATCTTTGCCCAAAGGTGAGGCTTTACTTAAAAAAGCTATTCAACTGAGTGAAGCTGTTTTAGAAACAACAGGGAACGAAGGCAAAGATAATATAAACCAAGAAATAAAGCAATTGAAGATTGAATGGGAGAATCTACAACATATCTGTAAAGATACCAAGAAACTTCTGGAGAAATGTCTCTCCGCTTGGTCAGATTTCTTGGAAACATCAGAGAAGATGAGCAGCTGGGTGAAAGACTTCGGAGGTAAATTGTCTTCTGTACAAAAGGTGGATAAAATCACTCCCGAATATTTGGATAAATGTCGCGTAAGTATTAATTTTGTCTTCTATGGTGGTTTATTTAAAGATGAAAATTGCAAACTTTATATATTTTTATCTTTTTAGGATTTACTCGCTCAAGCGCTCGCAAACAAACACGTCTTAGAAGAACTGAACGACAGATGTGAAAATCTGATGGAACTCAGCGCTTGCGCTTGGGTTCGAGATAAGACAGTCAATTTGCAAACAGAATACACATCTCTTCTTACCAAGATACAGAGCCTAGTTTCCAACGGCGAAAAGAATTTATCCGATCACACAGAGTTTATCAAAGCAAAGAAGGAACTTCAGCAATGGCTGGAAACCGCACATGGCACCGTGCACGATTCCATAGGAGTCGGCGATATTGACACCACTAAAGATAAACTGGAAACTGTCAAACTGGTCAGCAACAGAATGACCGAGGGTCACCATCTCTTGGTCGTTTTGCAGGAAGCGTTTAAGAAAGCTCTCAACAATACACCGCCCGAGGAACAGGACAGCTTGCGAAACGACGTGCAAGTTCTACAGGAAAGCTGGGATCAGCTGAAGATCGACCTGAACTCCATAACTGCTCAGCTCAAAGCGGCGATTGGCAAATGGGAAGATTTCGAGGAATCAAAGAACAAACTCAACCAATGGATCAGTAGCACCGAGCAGAACTTAGACAAAGTGGCGCCCACCGGCGGAGAACTCGGCGAGATGAAGACCTTGCTCGAGAAGTACAAGCACATTGAGGACGAAATCGACAACAAGAAACCAGAACTGGAGAGACTTAAAGAGGAGGCCGCAGAACTCAGCGGATGGGCGAAGAAACCCGCGGTCAAGGAGTCTGTCACCGAAATAGAGAAGAAATGTAACGCCTTAAGAGCTAAGTGCGCCGCGAAGAAAGTGGAACTGGAGAACGAAATCAAGGACTACAACCAGTACCACCAGTCGCTGCAGGACACGGAGAAGTGGCTGCTGCAGGTGTCCTTCCAGCTGATGGCGCACAACTCGCTGTACATCGCCAACAGGGAGCAGACGGAGGAGCAGCTGGCCCAGCACGCGGTGCTGCTGGATGACATACAGAAGTACCGCACCACGCTCGACGACCTGGAAGGCAAGGGTCGCGCACAGATCGAGCGTTACGAGGCGACCACTCCGGCGATACGCGACACCGTCGGCAAGCAACTGAAAAACGTCAACGACAGCCACAAGAGCTTGCTGGCGACCGCGCTACAGATCGAGAGACGACTGAGAGAAGGTCTCGCCAAGTTCAAGGAGTACGAGGATACGCTGGAGAGCATCCTGAACAACCTGGACGAGTGCGAGCCCGCCATCACCGAGCTGGACGTGCCCGTCGATGGCCTCACTCATGGACGAGACTTGCTGGATAAAGCGAGGGTAAGTAGATTCTGATTTTCCTCTATTGTTCCAGAATATAGTCTAATTAATCGAAAAATTGATTGAGCAACGTTAGAAAAGCTTTTCTATGTCGGTGAAATATCCTATGACACTCAGGAGAAGAAGACGAATCGAATGACACACCACTCATCAAAATCGGTACACTCGTTTAGAGTTCAGGCCGTCACAATGTGTGTAACAAAAGCGATGAACTATTGGTAAAGATAAAGGTTTAAAGTAAATTGTGTGTGTGTGTCAGGGTCTGCACAACCGGCTGCAGACGGAGAAGGCGCGCCTGTCGGCGGCAGTGGCGGCGTGCAGTGCGGCCGCCGCCTCCGTGTCGCGTCCCGCCTCGCCCGCAGACACCGCGCCGCTGCCCGTGCCGCCGCGCGAGCTGCACGCGCGCGCACGACTCGAAGACCTCATTGATCAGGTACTCACCACTGCAGCCAGGGTACTCGCCACTGACCTGCTACAGGAGACTCTTGTGTGATGTCTCTACGCGACTAGGGATTGGGGTAATCACTAGTAATTTGCCAGTTTCGGGCCTTGCTCTTGTCATTTGATTATGTTACGACGTCTTTTTTCTATTCTTAACCATTCTCTTTTGATTTTTTTTTTTTTTGGATTAAATATTTTTGATTTTTTTAATATACTGGCAAGGTTTTAGGGTGCATTTTTTTTCTTATTTTGGGTATTAGGTAATGTTACCCTTTCGAAAGCATGGAGTGTTATGTTGTTTCTTGATGTTGTGTTTTTCCAAAGATTGAAATTAAAACTACATATAAGAAAAAAGAATACGCACTAGTTAATTAAGTTACTTAGTAAAAATAAAACTTAACTTATTATAATATGTTGCTGTTTATAAAGCTTTAAGTTTGCCAGGTCCGAAAAAGAACAAAACCAACGAGTTAGCATAATATATGAAGTAAGAATTCCTTATATATTTATAAAACAATCATACGATGTGGTAGATACACTATGCCGTAGTTAGTAACGAATTGTACAGGCGTAGACGTTGGCAATGTGTTTTTTTTGCACCTGGTATCATTTGATGTTGTCGGATTTTAAAATTTGTGAACACATAATTTGCTTTGATTAAAAATGCTGAAAAGAGACAATTATATTCTTAATAAATTCTTATATAGACCTAGCTGACGCTCGCGACTCCGTCCGCGCGATATTATAAAAGCGTACTAAGTAGACTATGTTCTACTTACATGCCAAATTTCATTGAGATCCGTTGAGCCGTTCCGGAGATATCTTCAAACAAACAACCATCATCCATCTAAACTTTCGCATTTATAATATTAGTAAGATAAAGCTATATTTATTAACTGATGCTTAGGAATTAAAGTACTGGTTACTGTGTCCGTAAATGTTTAAAAGTAAATCTTACTAATATTAAAAATGCTAATGTTTGGATATTTGTTTAAACATATCAAGAACGGCTGATGGATCTTGCTGAAATTTGATATAGATGTAGAACATAGTCTGGAAGGAACACAGGCTACTGATGAGTCGCGGGCGACAGCTAGTTACAATATAAATTGGCTCTATCCAGTTCAATGTTTGAACAAACAGACTGATTAAAAGGCCTACACACACCTATGTTTGTACACGTGCACTTGTGTGAACCGCACTTTATTATCACTTTCAATACACGGTGATTACATTATGTGGGCCGGAAAGTTATTTTTATATGTCATAAGTAAATATTTACATTGCAAAGACCGGGTTTTGTCAAGTTGATTGACGTGATATTACGCATATGTTGGTTTGATATTTCTTTGACTACTGAAATAATACATATGTAGTTACTTACTAATTGTATATAACACATTAGAATCATAATATTTGGTATAGATTGATCTTAAAAATAAAAAAAATATATACCAAATGTACATAATTTCTTTCAAATCATTCATCATCATCATCAAACCTGCCCTTATCCCTATCGAGGGTCGGCACAGTATGTACTACTCCTCCATACATCTCTATCAGCCGTCATATCCGAGTCTACCCCCTTCTTACGCATATCCTCTTTCACACAGTCATTCCATACTTTTTTTGGTCTTCCCCTACCCTTGTAGCCATCCACATTCAATCTCATTACTTTTTTGCTTATATCATCATCATCCCTCCTCATAACATGTCCAAACCACGCTAATCTTTCAAATCATTCATTGATAAAGCCTCTTTTGATTTAACTTAAATTTCAAACATCAATAGACTAATACTATTGATATTTTTCTACTTCTTACTAATATTTTAAATGCGTTTGTTAAGACGTATGTATGTTTGTTCGAAGGTATCAGTACAATAGAATACAATATTTATTGGTAATGTTTAAAAGTACAGTACAAAAAGAGATTTACAAAAAAAAATCATTGAAAAAATTCTTCGTATGTATACAGAACCCTCTTGACAAGCACTGATCTCAATCTAGTATTGATTGATGTGAGCCTTCTATCTTGAATAGTTGAACAGATCTCAATTAAATGTATCATACATATAAAACATAGTCTGGAAGAACATGTACCGCGGTAGGAGTCGCGGGCGACCGCTAGTAATGACATATAAACATCTTTCTGTCCCACATAAATACGTAACATTGCAATACTAACCCGCACGGTGTTGAGCATGATGTCTGTCCGTAGCAACATGTGACTGATGTGGCCGAGCCGAGGGTCGATGTCTTGCTTAAGAGCCTCGAATCACCAGAATTTAGCAAGAAAATGAACTCTTTGCAAATGAAGGTAAGGCTTCAGCACGCTATACACATGGATAGACGATTACGATGCAGGTTAGAGACGGAATCAGATAGGATAGGAACTTTATGGATCGTAATTTTCCTTGTGACTCTGTGCACAGTACAACTTTAGGATTTAATGGGACGTGAAAGGGAGCGAGCCATCCCTGTGTGTATTCCTTCTGGCATTGGGATAACCTAGCCATGACCAAATGTCTTGTTAAACAACAAGGTTTAAAAACATTAATGTTTAAGACCATTTTTCTGTTAGAAATTAATTTTCGAGGTCTGATATTAATGTAGTTGTAATAAGTAAAATGCCGTATGCACTCGATAAAGCTTTCCCCACTAATAAATCACTGTAAATATGCTGTATGAACACATTACTAAACAACAACACTGCACTTTGATAATATTAATACTTACGATATACTTTTAAATAGGTACAAAGTCATCTGGAAACCTTGGGCGATGCGGTCCATGGTATGGAGGAAGCTATGAAGCAAGTACTTGAGATCCAAGAATGGATTAACACACACAAAGCCCTTGCACATGATTGGCTGTCCAACCCTTCGAAACTGCGCCCCGAAGCAGCCAAAAATGACATGGCTGCTATGAGCGACGCTTTAGCTTCACTGGCAGAAAAGAGAAACAGATTGCTTACCGAAATACCCACAGAAGGTAAGCTTTTGTAGTCTTATTTTCTAGTAAAATTGTTAAGACAAAATTACGTTTCGCTTTTTTTGTAGCACACTGTGCTGATTTCTAACGTTAATATTTAAAAAAATCCTTTGCCAATTTAAATTATATAATATGCTACACTCAGTCAAGTATCAATAACTCGATAGCCGAATTATAGTTAAATATTATCGAATAACATAAATCTTGTTTAAATGTTGCTATGGTAATATATTTTATTTGGCAATTTGCCAGTAAGATGTTCAAACACGAACTTTGTATGAAACCTGTCCGGATATTTCCGTGCGCAATGCTCATAAGACTGGGAATTTATACGACTTAAGTATTTATAAAATTAGTAGGTCACTTGTTTATAGATTATTTAGAAATATGCCCTCATAATGTTGATGTATAAATATCTTTAGGTTTAGAAGATGAAATCAACCTTGAAGAGGAATTGGACAACCTTGAGAAGACGATTCTCCAAGCTATTGAAAGAGAAAAGTCCAACCAAGGCATCATCGATGATTTCCGTCACAAATGTCAGGAGATCCACGATTGGTTCGATGCTGTACTCAAGAAGATGTGCCTCGCTGACAAAGGATCCGGTCTCCCTTGTCCTCAGAAGCTCAGCGCTTTGAAGGAATTGTCGAATGAGTTTGGACAAGCTGGGAAAGATAAAGTGGACAATATTAAGAACGTTGGCTCACAAGTTATAAACATTGTTAGTAACTTGGAGTCTCAGCAAGTTGAGGAACAAGTAAGTATCCAATAAAATGTAAAACTTAAACATTTCTAACCACATCAAAAACACTTCTTGCGATATCCAATTTGTAGTATTTTAGAATTGATTAATTCGCTTGTTTCAGATGAAGTCGGTAGAGAGAAGATACAATGACATCGCTAAACGAATTCAACGCAAACTCCAGATGCTCGAAATCACTTACAAAGCCATTGATGGTACAAAGAGCGAGGTCAATGCTCAAAACGAGTGGCTTCAAAAGGAAATCGACAATATTGTGCATCCAGAGCCACTCGGCTACGAAAGTAAATCAGTAAAGGAAAGACAAAAGAAGATTGCAAATCTACTAAAAGAAACTGATGGCAAGAAAACAGTTATCGACTCTTTGGAGAAGAAGGTCAGCAACATTCAATCCGAACTTGAACCTTCTGAACAGATGCAATTGGAATCTGAGTTATCCGAATTGGCTTCGAAGCAAAAACAACTTGCCTCACTGATTAAACAAGAAATCGAAAGATTGAGTGGATGCGCTGAAATCAGAAAGAAGTTGGAAAATGACATTGAAAAGGCAAAGAATTGGCTTAAATCTAAATTAGCCGATATCAAGAAGCTTGGTGGTCCAGTACCGCTAGAAGTTGGAAAGGTTGAAAAAGAAATTGCCGTACACAAGAAACATCAAAGTGAACTGTCAGATTTCCACAATGATACTCTTTCTGAAGTTATTCGCCAAGGAAATGCTGTGTCCAAAGACTGCTCCCCTGAAGATCGTACGAAACTGCAAGCTATCTTAGAAGGACTAAATAAACAATATACATCAGCCAAAGTAGACATTGACAAAAAGCTAGCGGCATTGAATAAACTATTGCAAGGCAGAAATGAATTTGAAAGTGATGTAGCGAAGTGTCAGAGCTGGCTGAATGAGGCAGAAGTTGCCGCCACTCCTGAACTTCGTACAACCAGTCTGCAACTCTTGGAAGAACAGCTTGCGAAGTTTGAAAAGCTTAGCAAAGAAGCTGAGGATGTGGAGAAAAATATTACCAAAATCAAGGATAAATCTAAGGATATCATGGAAACATTATCAGACTCAAATAAATTACAACTTAAAGAACAAGTAAACGTCCTTTCTGATAAATTCGCTAGAATCAACGCTATCATAAACGACAAGAAGAACATTTTAATTAAGCACATCAAGGAGTACAAAGACGCTGCAGCTAAGATCGCTGCGGCTCTGGAATTCTTGAACGAAATACAGAACAAACTTAAAGCTCTTAACAAACCTATTGGCAGCAAAGTTGAGGATGTCCAACCAGTTATCCAGGCCTACGAATCCATTCTCGCCGACTTGAAAAAGAATAAGGCAATGCTTAATGAATTACAAGGAGGAAACCTTCATGACCTTCAAGATATTCTAACTCAGCAGGACGACCTGGTCACTACGATCGAAGATCAAATTTCTAGACTCAAACAGCTTCTGCTACTTCGCGAACAGTTCTTTGCTCTCGTGAAAGAAATTGAGGAGTTTATAACTAAATACACAGATGTGACCGCAGAAATCGAAAGGTCTAACGATACTTTGGAAGACAAAATCAAACGCTACGACGATATTATTGTAAAGATACAAGGATGCGAAGCTCTGTTAGCTACCGCCACAGACAAGGGTCAGCAGATTGCTGCCGAAGGAACTGTCATTGATAGAAACAATATCACTGAACTTTTGCAATCACTAAAACAACAACTTCTAACATTGCGAAGACTTGTAGAATCAAAGAGACAGGAACACGAGAGAGCTGCTGCCGAACATAAGAAACTTGCAGCAGATCTATCTGAAGTATTACAATGGCTGCATGACAACGAAGCTGCGGTACATTCACGTCCGCTGTTAAACAGAGATGTCGCCAGTGTTGATAAGAAACTAGTCGAGCACGCTGCATTAGTAAAGAACGTACAGACTTATTTGGATAAATTTACAAAGATCTCTGATATTATAAAGAATGACGACGGTGTGCCGGGATCGCTTCTCGAAATGGTATCAGAAGGCAACTCCTTGAAGACATCCCTTCCCGAGGAATTAGCAAACAGGGAGAAACATCTCAAAGACAACAAGAAATATAGACAACAGTACATACAAATGGTCGAGAAATTAAACATTTGGGTGAACGAAGCCGGAATAAGATTGGATATGGGCAAAAACGGCACGGACTTTGAGAATATCGAATCTGACTTAGAAGAACATAAATCATTCTTTAACACATCGGAACCAGAAATGAAAGATCTCGTCGGAAAGAAGATGCAAGACGTCGTTGACAAGATCTGGCCGTCACTAACTGCTTCCGAGCAGGAGGAACTATCGAAGGACCATCAGAAGCACAACCAGCTGCTTAAAAACACTTTGAACTCTGCTAAATCGCGACAGGCTCAGTTGGAACAGGATCTGGAGATCTGGAAGGACTTCTGCCAGCTGGTGGAGAAGATCAAGTCTATATTGGACAAGAATGACATCGAAGACGAGCTGATCACCACTGTGGATGCCCTGCGTTTGTACCTGGAGAAACTCAACCATGCCAAGAATGATTTAGAGGTAAGTTTCTTTATCTTGTCTTATTTTATAGCACTTAATAATAAAACTGTACAATTTTCTAAGTACGCGTTGAAAAATTACAAAAGTGTAAACAAGTATCCATTGTCATTTATGCGTTGCTTTTTCTCCGGCGACTGACCGTCCAATTGTTTGCAGTTTACTTTGAATATTAATTAAGTGTTTATAAATTTAAATAACTTCATTGTATTCATAATACAAAACAAATATCTTGAATGTTTTTTTGCACCAATTTAACCCAAATCCAGAGTCTTACTATCATACTTATTGGTAATCATAATCAACGTTTAATAAAAAACAAGAATTAATTTTTGATGACACATTGTCGTTATCTAGAAGTTATAGTATCTTTCACAATCGTAATTGTTATCGAATATCTCGGTAAAAGTGTAAATAATTTCGTTTCTGTGAATTGTTTGTTACTTTTACCTTAAAAAGTAACTTTACTTTTTCTACGTCTTACTAATATATATTTTTTCCTATAAAAATAACTAATAATATCTTTTGTGTCTTGTGTCGTGGAGATAATTTGCAAATACATACGTATGTATAAAGTCCACGCGTGGGCGAGGGAATGGCGCCTGCCCATCGCCGCTCGTTGCCTAGCAACCGACCATTTTGTTCATTTTGCCCGCTTTCTATTCACTAGGGTTATTGATCCCTTCGAGGTTAGTTTTACCAACATGTAGGGTAAAACTGGGATATTCCGATTTTTGATTTTAATGTAAAATATATTAATTTTGATGTTGCTTATATGGGCCTAAATCTAGTTAATAATGTTAAATTTAAAGATGTTGATAATTAGATCTACAAAATGTTTTCCGAGACTATTATAAAGAGGAAAGATTTTATTGTTTATTTCCATTGGCTCCTAAACTATTGAACAGATTAGAAAAATTCTTTTTCTGTTGGAAACCTACACTATCTCTAGGTGAAAAAGCCATGTAGTACTTATTGTATATAATATAAGGCTAACATTCAACAAATTAAAACAAGTATAGATTTCTTTTCTTTTATTATACTAAATATAAATTTCCTGCTCCCTGTAAAACTTGTCACCCTACACTTTGACCTATTGTTGTCTGTTTAAGGTGATATCGAGTTTCCGATTTAGTTTAGTTTCTACAGCATTCAATTGCAATTTCTAAACCTTAAATGTAAATCATTTAGATGTTGAAATTCATTCTTAAACTTACACAGCTCCAATAATAATTTAAAAGTACACAACAAGAAAGAAAAAATTAAAAATCGAGATAAAATCTTATCACGTGATAAAGCGTTTATGTTTGTCTCTTTTATATGTACACATCTGTACTATTACACTGTAAAGGTATTGCTATTGCCATCTCTTACATTCTCTTTGAAAAAACTGACACATTTTTGTACGGATGTTTAGATATTGGAAACTGCGATAACAGAAGGGACATCTATGATCTTACTGGCTGTCGCATTTTACCCCGAACACGCAAAAAAAAAACTTAGTAGCCTGTCCGCTTCCAGATTATGTTCTACATTTATGTCAAATTTAATCGAGAACCTTCTAACATACATCCATCCACTCAAACATTTGCATTTATAATATTAGTAAGATTATTAAGACTAGCTTTTGCCTGCGACTTCCTTTTTAATCTAAAATATTTTACCACAAACTGTTACAATATCTTGCTAAATCAAAATAAAATTTCGATATAGTTTTCGACCTAACATTGCGAACGTCAAATGACAGATGACATTAAATGGATAGGAGATAAAAGTCCTCGACTGCATTTGAACAGTTTTTGTACAGTACTGGAAACAGTTTTATCTCGGCTATCGGATCAATGAGGGAGAAAGCGCGTTGCTACTTCTATAAATAAATCACTATTATTATTACTTTCTAACGTTGTCACTGCGACTACACAGATTATACATAAGTAGAGTTGGCAATTGTCCGTTATTTAAACACATTAACACTCAAGTAAGCTTCTAGTTATCCGTTGTCTAAGACAACGTCTTCGTATACTAACTATTCGTCTCTTTAACACTCAACAGCAGCCCAAAGCAGCAATATTTTCATTCATTTTATTTTCTAGAATTTTCTCGCGACTTATCCGAGTAGAGTTAAAAAAAACTTTATACGAGGATGCGTTTGTCCAGACTATGTTCTACATCTGTGCGAAATTCCATCGAACTCTGTTAAACCGTTTTGGAGATTTGTAATGTTACGAAGAAAATCCGACACTGTGCCGGAGTACTGGTACAACACTAATTAAAATGTTGACGTTTATGTCCCCTCACTAATCATTCTGACACTTGACTTGGTAATGAAAGCTCGGCATTCGCGCCAAAGGATTCTAATGAATAATGTCTAAAAGTAATAACAAACATCCAACTATCCAAATCAATAAATTGCGAGATACTTATTAGAAATATATTTTTCAATTAAAGTTTAACATATGTATAGGTTCTTGACGGTTTCTATTATTTCTTGACATTGAATTTGCAAGGTTTTCTTTGCAAATCAAATTACAGGATGTATTCTTCTACTTGTGGTCGTATGCCGCAGTTTTATCCGATACCTTACGACGTGATCGGAAACATGAAACTGATATAAAAATAAATACAGAAGTCATATGTATTGTGTGACGAAGGACCATAATCGTCATACATTGTGAAACATTGTATGACTAACAATAAGCACATGGTGGACGATCAAATTTGTTTGACCAAGATCTTTATATCAAACGAGGGCAAGTGCCTAAATTTGACAAAAATCTGTCAGCTTTGGCCCAACGGTTGACGCAGCCATTGTCGGACTTAGCAGAGTCCGGGGTATAGTGCTAAAGGCCGTCATAGAAATAGTAATTGTTGTTTTTTCTTGTATTATTTTCCAAGTAGGTTGTTTTGGGCATATATATGTTCAAAAAAACGAAAGTCCCTAAAATTAGAGAGAAAAAAAAATTGTCAAACAAAATTTGACAAAGTATTAAACGTACATTTGATAAGGAATAATTTAAATTTGCTATTATTTGTAAGTCTTCATTCTTACAAAGTAAATTATATAAAAATTGCGAGTAATTCCGCCGTTGTGCGCTAGTCCGCGGAACAATCAACAGTTGCGTTTCCCCTAAAGGATGATGTCATGCCGGCGAGTCAAGGCCCCACTGGCAGCCAGTCTGCATTCGAACACACAGCAATGAAAACCGTACGAAGCAAAATTAACTATAATCGTATCGTTTTTATACACAAGTGCAGTATCCACGTGCCTACTTAAGTCTTATTTAATTAACTTTTTAATTGTATCTTTTTTTTTTATTGTTTTTATAAATAAATAAACATTCCGCGTAAAAGGAAGGTAAGTGTAACGCCGGCAAGCGAAATAATTATAGTTGGTGTTAATTTAGACATTTTTTAAATGTTATTTGATTTAGTGAAGTGTTTGTGTTTAATTTATTTCGTATCTACTTTTTTATTGTGAAATATTGTACATTTTACATGTTATAAAGCGTTTAAAGATAAAATTTAGGATATCAGTTTTGTTTGATAAAATAAATTGTTTTATTTTATAATTTGACAACCTTATCAATATTGAAGTTTAACCTTGATCTAGAGTTAGTTGGGTTAAAAACCAAAATATAACAGAATAAAATAGTGTTTATATTGTAATGAACTTCACAATCTTATTAATATTATAAAAGCGAATGTTTGTTAGAAGGTATCTCCAAAACGGCTGCATAGATCTTACTGAAATTTGGCATAGATGTAGAGCATAGCCTTTAAGAACTTATAAGTAACTTATTAAGTTTTTTTTTAATTTCCGCGCGATCGTAAATCGATATAACCGTACAGTTGACATGTTTCAAATTTAATTTATCTTTCAACTGTTATTATGTTTTCCTCATTAACTGTATGCTTAATATATATTAAAAACTTAAACAAAACACGTACAAAGTTCCTTATAATCTTGTATTCACCTGCTGTAATTGACCCAATACTTAATTTAGAAAAGCTGTAATAAAATCTGATACATCTTAAACAATGAATAATTAACTATTGTTTGTTGGACAAAGTATTATGCCGGTGTTCATTACTGTTTCCATTGACGAAACAGCTATACAAAAACACAGTGTTGTCGCAATTTTTTCAATCAGAATGAGAGGGATGACACGATGTTTTTTGTAGGGAAAATATACGGTAACATTACAAGGCCAGAGTTTATAAATAGCCACCATTGTGGGAGCTAATGTAAAAGTGAGACGGGTCCTTTTACAACATGACTCTATATGCCAATCTCTATATCTCCTTCATTGTTATGTAGTACTGTTATTTATTTATGTTACATTCAAGGATCTTGAAATAATCGCGTGAGACTAAATAGTATAAGATTCGGATAATCACAAAACAAAAAATGATTATTCTAAAAAAACTATAATATATAGATGCTATCGCGTACTTTTATTTAGAAAAATTTAAAGAGCTACAATTTGTTCATACATTATTTTTATGTTGGTCCTATAGTTTAGCCTAAACGAAGAAAGTCCTTAATTTTCGTAACGCATGAATCTATTTGATTTCTAGTCAGTTCAGAAATTAATTAAAAATCGGTGCTCTAGATGCGGAGTTATGTGTAAATAAAAAAAGACGAATTGTAAAGTTAATTCATGAAGGGGATATTCGGTTTATATTTCATCCAGTTAAATTAATCTTAGTTTAAATAAAACATCTCTGAATGTGAAAGTTAACACTATTGTTACAAATGCATCGTCATTATCGTAATGATTTTAGAAAGTATTTTTGAACCATTTTTAAAAGCGTTTAACAGTTATTTGATTTTTGTTGATGTCACATGAATTTGCACTTTACACTGCAACGTTGATTGACTTTCAGTAGCAATTGCATTGGTGTTAATGAAATCAACAATGCGCAAATTGCAAAGCAATATTTGCACGCAATCATGAATGAATTATTACGTGTGAATATACATTACTAACTGTTGCCCGCGTCTCCTTCCGTGATTAATATATAATACTTAATAATTAGCCTATGTGTTCTTCCAGAATATGTTCTACACGTGTACCTTCAAACATACATCCATCCATCGAAACTTTCGCATTTATATTAGTAAGATTAAAAATTATTAGGCATTCAATTTTGTTGTTGTCAGAGAGTTGGATGCATCGAAACAGTTTTAACAAATTTATGTCTATATATCATTTATGTCTATGTTAAGAGCGTACACCTTCCTTAAAGGCCGGCAACGAATCTGCGGTTCCTCTGGCGTTGCGGATGTCCATGGGCGTCGCATCAAATAATATTAGGCGATTCGTTGCTCCTTTGCCCCCTTCTCCTATAAAAAAACAACAATAAATATTTCATAACTTCCATTACCAGGAAACGTAATTTTCTGATAACATTTTTGTGATCGTGACTGTACGAATTAGCGAAATTCTTTACTACAGCGTCATCTTAACAACATAAATCAAGTAAATTAATGCTCACTGCGTCTAATTCAACGGACTTGTCATTTTACAACGTTGTTCCAAAAAATATCTAGTAGGTTAATACAGAGTAAAGAATGTTAACTTTTTGTTTACTACTTATGTGTATAATTTGATGGTTAGTCGGGCACGCAATTTAATATAAGATTCAAACTTAATGGCGAATTGTACCTACAAACATATGTCTTCACTAAAGGTGCAAAGATAGTATTCACGTCATCATCAGCCATATACGTTCCCATTGAGGGGCTCGAAGTCACTGGATCATGGTTAACCACAATTAACCAGTACGACTTCATACATATCTTTGAATTTCTTAGCAGATATGTGCGTCATGATTATTTCCTTCACCGTAAGAGAAAATTGTGGTGTACGTCTCGTGCGATATTGCGAGCCGCTATAAAGTTTGATGGGCACTATACATTGTACAGTCATAAACATTAGTGCAAGCACCGAACGTTGCCGAAACGAGGCCCGACTAAAAATATAGTCAATGAGGTAACGCCGTACGTCAAGGTCATGATTCAATGTCGGATGTCGGTCGCATCAAGTTGATGTTTTCCTCCGTCTATAACTTTGTGTAGGTAACGTTAACAAAACTATAGTACTTTTATATTAATTTCAATTGTATTTTATGAATACTATCTTACTTCTTACTAATATTATAAATGCGAATGTTTAGATGGATGGATGGAACTTAGTATTTTTTTAATACCACGCGGATGAAGTCGCGGGCGATAGCTAGTGATATATTTTACTTGTATTTGTTAAGTTGCATACTCCAAGTTTAATTTTGTTATGAAATGTTTTAGAGTATAATAATAAGATAAACAATTTCACGTGGTTCTCGTTAAATTTGAAATTCCTAGATCTAGTAATTTAGGTTGTAGAGTGTTAGCCAGATTTTCTTGTAATAATATAGATTAGAGATTTTCCAGACATCGCAAAAAATGGTTATTAAGAGTTATAGAGAAAGCTAGGAACAAGCTCTGTGAAAGGAAAGCCTGTCCAGTTTCTAAAGTCGTGTAATGTGCTGAATTTAAGTGTGCAAAATTTCACATCCAGTGCGCTGTTATCACCTTATCATAGCAGTCATCGTGAGGTTGATAACATTGTAAACAGTCGACGGAATGCAAGACCGCTCTTGATTACGGTTTCATATTAAAAGATATTGTACTTAATGCGTTTAATGGCGCCATTTTACAGTTTTATGTTTATAAGTGTTCACAATTCGTAGTGTTTTAGTTTGATTTCGTTAAGGTTTATTTCATTAAATTTTTTAGAGAACTGTCGAACTCAGAGTGGTTATTTAAGCAGTCCGTTAGTGTATAAATTTAGTGGCATTTAGGAGTAGGCACTACTAAGGAACTGCTCAAATGACTACTAAATATTTAATATAAAGACACGACTGAGTCCGGTAAATAAACCCATAATGCTGCTGTTTGTACTAATACAGTTTTACTTATGTTAGTAGTAATGTGTGATTGTATTTCTTTGTATGTAAAGAACCAGCAGCCGCTGCTGGAGGTGGTGCGCGAGCGGGCGCGCGAGCTGAGCGGCGGCGCGGACGCGGCCAGCGGTGAGCGGGTCGACCACAAGACCAGGGACCTCGCTGACCGGTGGAACCTCGCCTGTGAAGGTACACATAGCTACAGTAAAAGAAAAAGAGTATGAGAGAGATAGAATGAATCATAGGGGGTTCTTCACCTATATTAAATTCAAACATTATGGTGGTTCATATTTAGCTAAAAATCATATTCCCAAATAGCGCGAAGCCGAGTGACGCCAAATAGAAGTCTTGACTCTAGCGTGAGTTGCATTGTTGTATTTGAGTGTAACGGTACATTTCCTTCTCACTAGGTTTAGCGAAGCGAGCGGCAACAGCTGACAGTCAGTTGCAGCGCTGGACGCAGCTGCTGGACACACAGCGGAGCCTGGCTGCAGCTGTCACCGCGGCCTCGGACCGCCTGCGACAGCTGGACGCTAGCCCCAGCACACGTCGACGCGCGCTCGACACACGACATGCTTTGCAGGTTTGTTGAACTAATGAGATGTTACCCCACTCAGAATTAAAAGATCACAGCAGTGACAAAGTGCAATATACTAAGTATACGCTAAGAGGCGCTCTTAAATGCCAGTTAGCAACTGGCTGGAAGTATCTGTACTGAGGGTCTAAATCGGTGACCAATTAAAATATTTTGTGTGTTAGTTCCCATTGGACTGATCGATCCGATCGATAGAATCGGTAAACAGAATCAGTCGTATAAACGGGAAAATCTCATAGGCCTATTGATTGGTACGTCGATCGGCTCAACGGGAAATAAGTCTTGGGAGTGTAAAGATTGGTATTTGGTATATTAAGCTAAGATTCTGTATTTGTTTTTGTACTCAATGTTTTTGTATTAAACTAAAGTTCTTTGTATTGTTAGTTTTTATCGTTGAACAAAACATAGAAGCATTTTCTCGAAGTAGGTCTATTGTAAAGGTATTCAAAAGTTTTGAAATAGTCTAGAATACAGAGCGCGGTAACCAAACAATATCGGCTCGGTGCGCGGCCGGCGAACGGGACCTTTAAAGGAAAGTTCTAGACAGGTTTTACTGAGTGAACTCACGAGCCTTGTACAGACCTCGTAATATGTGCCAACTGTATTCCCAAGTTAATAAAACAAGTTTAATCTATGTTTCAGTATATGAAATTAATACTAACTCAGATTTTTCCTTCCAAAATGTAAAGTATTAAAGGCACAAAAAACAGTTTGTTCATTGCGTGTTTAGATTAAAAATAAACTTTAGAATCTTACTCACATATTAGTTTTTTTTTATATGAACTATCCCTTTTTGCATCAGCTTCCGACCCTTGTTGAATGTGAACAAAGGTCGCTTCCGATAAGGGAAGTTGATACGATAGTATTATTACAAGGTATTATTTTCTCTAACATCTGGCACTGATTCAAGATAATGTTTTTGTTTAGGAGCTGCAAGCGGACGTATCAGGTCTTGAAGAGAGTCGGGACGATCTCCTGGAGCACGCAGACTTTGTGCTGAACATCCTCAGACCGCACTCGAAGCAGGCCGCAGAAGACACCGAGAAATCTGTGAAGGAGACTGCGGAGGCTTATGAGAAGTGAGTTTGTGTGGCTATTAGTGTGTGATTTTAGTTTAGAAGTTAAATTTTGAAATTATTTTTATGTATAAAATGCCAGAGATTCCCAAACTTTTCTTTAAACTCTTTTAAAAATGTTATTGCTTTCGGGGAACCTCTTGCTCATTTATTTCCAAGCATCGTATAAGCCCGTTCAGTCTTCTGTGGGCATGAATCATTTTGGGAACCGAAGCTAGAGTATATTTTATAGCTATTATTGTTTATTTTTTTTATTTAGCTAACAAGGTAAGTTTTGATATAGGTACATTTTTTATTGTGGGATCGCAAACCGTTATTTCATTGATAAAGTAAAATTTATTTGCACAACTCCAAATTAATATCGTGAATCAAATATTATTGAAGGATTCGAGCGTCTGTAAACAATCGTGTAGACGTCGTGTTCAAATTGTACAAGATGTACGTTGTTTTTATTATTCTCCTCAATAGAGCCCGTAAGACTAGAATTTGCTTATTTCTTAGTTGTTGATACTGTTTAAATTACTTACTTACTCCGCTGGCGCATCGACCCAAACTGGGTCTTGGCCTCCGACACAAGAGATCGCCAAAGTCGCCTGTCTTGCGCCTTCTCCTGCCAGTCCTGTTTAAATTAATGTTATAAAAATTTTAGACTAATCACCAATGTTCTTCGTTTTTAAAACGTATTTTAAATTATGTTAACAACTTTTCATAACCTATAAGTTTGACAACAAAACGTAAAAGATTTTTAAATAAGTAAAAGAATGATAAATAAGAAATTCCTATTTAAAAATTAACAACTAACGGAAACATTTTTCAGCGTTTTTGTACAACTTTGAAACAGTTAAGTTAGCTTTTTGCACTTCACAGATAATAAATATATTTTTTATTAAATAACTACCTGTAGCCGGCGACTACGTCCGCGCGGAATTAAAAAAAAAATAATAGCCATGTGTTCTTCCAAACTATGTTCTACATCTATGCCAAATATTAGCGAGATTCATACCGCCGTTCTGGAGATACCATCAAACAAACATCCATCCAAACATTCACATTCATAATAATAGTAAAAGTTTAACATGAACTTTAGGGAGGATTTTTTTCTATTAATTTAAAGTCCGGAAACCTCAAAGTTTTACAGTTGGCAAATTATCAACTATTCACACTTCTACTGCTTTTCATAATAACTATTCCATGAATTTAACTGTCATTTTAATTACAAGGCAATAAGGTATGTTTTAGCTTGATTTTGATTCTTCACCGTCGGTTACATCTGGCGTCAATCTTTCTGGTATTATCTTGGCACAAAACTATGTTTTTATATATTTGTAAGAAGATATAGTATTGTTTGTACATCCGGCATATAATTTTTTACATAAATCTTGGCATAGTTGTGGTGATAGGTTGAAAATTTGTTGACAAGTAATGTCAAAATAATGTTTTTATAGTCATGTGTATACTAAAGTTAGGTTACGATCTGCAGTTTCTCTGGTGTTGCGTTTGTCTATGGCCGTCAGTATTCAGTTCCGAGCCACTGCTCACAACCGATATTTACGCTAACGAGAATATCTGCGACTCGCCGCGGTAAATATAGACAACCTGAATCATACGCACAAAAAATAATAATAGATTGCTATAGGACTGGGTGTGACCCATTTATTTAGTAATGTAGGCGTAATCCACTATGTTACCGTGGGTTTCCGAGGCCGAAATCCTTGTATAAAACATATCGTTAGCCCTGTCTTTTATCTATAACAAAACAGAGAGAAAGATATGTTTTAATCGGGGATTTTGACCTCAGAAACCTACCGTTCGTGATATAAATTCTTTCTCTATCTTCCCAATCATTGGTGTCTTTTCAAAAAGACATTTGTACAAAAACTCATTGATATTGTCGTCCCATACACATGTTTTGATACAATTTTTTCAATGGTGAAAACTCGCTTTAAAAACAACAACAACATTCATTGTAACCTTCACTTAACAGAATTTGTTGACAGTATTACAGTTGATTTATTCGTAACACTTTGGCTTGTCTATGCCATTTGTCTTTTAAAGTACTTCTGCGCCTAGACTATTGCAGTCTGCGCCGCATTGCAGCTTCCAAACATTATGTAGACCAGACAGACACACAGACATATACTTAAGTCTACAGACGACGTAGTAGCGCGGTTAGTTTGACTGATTGAAATTAAACCTTACCACTTTGTAATAAGGTGCAATATAATTTAGTTCTTGTCATTATAATGTCGTTGTAATTTGAATTTTACGCAGTTGAAATAAGTAGCTGTTTTATTTGAAGCTTACGCGGTTTAAATCGACTGTGGACATTTATGGACACGGTCAAGGTCGAGTGGTCATCGTCGTTAACTACAATGAATAAACGTGATCAGAAAAAAAAACAAAGTTATAAAGTAAAAGTTGCCAGTAATCACTGTAATTGCCGTAAACATAGATAGAAATAAAATCTATGATTAATAGATAGATTTTTATAATTTACTAAACTAGATGTGACTTGACTTAATAAGTAGCCTATGTGTTCTTCCAGACTATATTCTACATCTGCGTCATATTTCATCGTAACCTATGCAGCCGTTCTAGAGTCATTTTCTAACTAACATCTATCCATCGAACCATGCATCCATCCAAACAAGCGCATTTATAATATTAAGATACGATTTTGTCTAACGGAATGACACATATGTCACATATATCCAGTGGAAGCATTAGTGAAAATAAAAATGGTATTTTAGTTTACTTAGCTTGAATTATACATGGGGTTGTCTCCTGGCTCGCCTTCCCGATAGTTATGTTAATATTAGTCTTACGACCTTCGAATTATCTAGAAGCTATGACGTCATCAGATGACATTTTTTTTTAACTATTATGTCATCATTCGTCTCATTATTTTATAAGATAATTCTGTTGAGGTGATGTCATGCCCTCAAGTTCACGTGCTTCGAATTTTTATATTCATGTGACCTTATTTCCTATGTGTTAAGGTTGAAAATACAGGCAGCTGTCGATGTTATTTTTGCAACAAGATACGTGATTCCTATTCCTACTTGTTTTAGGACGGAGTACTTTAGTGTTGGGTGATTTTATTTTTGTGGCCATGATTGCATGGACGATTTCGTCGATGCCTTGTTATTTTACGGCTACATTAACTATTTCTGTTGCAATTGTTCCCATTATTTTTTCCTTAGAATTGTGTTGCGATGTTAGCTATCATGTTACTTGGCTTAACTTATTTATGCAATTGTTACTTTCTGTCAAATATATTTCGATTCGTGTCTTTTGTACAGAATAATCTTACTTCTTACTAATATTATAAATGCGAATGTTTAGATGGATGGACAAACAAACATTCATGTTTGTAGGTATCTCCAGAATGGCTGAACGGATCTCGATGAAATTTGGCATACATATACAACATAGTCTGGAAGAACACATAGGCTACTAATTATGTTTTTTTATTTCCGAGCAGACGTAGTCGTGGGCGATCGCTAGATGTTGAGTTGAGGTTAAAGACGAAAACACAAAGGGAAGGAAATGAAATTTAAATACTATTCAAATAAGTTACGAGGAAGAGGGTTCTTGTAACTAGGGTTGTCAACATTGACTTTATTTCAAATTATATAGATAGGATTTCTCATATATTCAGAGTATACTTAATTTTTTTACTTACTTCTTATACTTATTTTAGTCATAGTTACGTTATGACTGACTTCAATTTAACCTTGAGAATTTCTTAACATTCGTTTTATTCTTCTTTACTTATTTTTAACTTAAATTGTCCACATCTTATATTATACGGTTAAAAGCGTTAGAATTTAAAAAGTTAATTAATTAATTGAAACAATAGAACATATCGATAGAACAAGATAAGTCGGTACATCACTAATATTGCAACGTCTCCCCACGTAATGCCCCAGGGACAAACCCAACCGCCACTATTTCTGCACCCCTATATCAATCGATAGTGTAAACGATAAACAAAACACGCAAATATCGTGTGATTCACCCTGACTTTAATCCCGTCCAGTACTTACTGAATACATACTCAGTCCCACATAATTGTGCTTAATTGAATAAGTTAATTATAGTCTTCTTGTACATATTATCCCGTTAAAGTAAAACGTTTCATACTAACATGAATAAATTAAAATAACTGGAATGTATTATTAATGTAGGATTTGTATTAATTAGTACAAGATTCTTCTATACTCAGACTTCTTTCTGCATATTTGTGATGGTACTACAGCACGTTACGAAGTAAACATAAGATTAAGTTTATTGCGAAATGTTTTGCGCCTCAGATTATCAAAGACAATTTAAATAGATTCCGTCCGTCTCGGGTTAAACTGGAATGCCATACGCTGCGCCATAATATACGCGAAAAAATGTGCTCCCTTATTCATAATAGGGCTTACTTTCAATCGATCCCACTTCCAGACGAAGTGGGAGAGTCCGCGCAATCGTTATATAGTCGAACCGACTACGACGGTGCGCCGTACCGGCCGGCTCGCGCATGCGTACTGCGCAGTTAATGGGTCACGGCCCTGCAGCGCGGCTCAACTGCACAGACGTATTGAGAACTTACACCGTGTTAGCAAAACGCGCTTCGGCGAGGAGCTTCTCGCCGGGAATGCAATGTGCAGTAAAATCATAAACGTTTCGGCAAACACGCTCGCCAGCCGTCGCCGGTCGCGTCGTAGGACCGGTCCCGGCGTCGGCCGCTAAAGGAACATCTTTCGCGAGTTTCGAGAGCAAGTGCGACGCACGTGTTACAAAGTTATTTTGGATATTTTTTTCGGCATACGCCATCTCGCCGGTAAGTCATCGACGATTTCAGACAAGAAAAGTTCGGTTTGCTGCTGAATTTGGCAGCGGCGTATGTAATGTTTACGTCGCCCACTCCGTGCGGCGCCGGCCGGCTGCGGCGCACGGCGCATGCCCTTTCGTTGCGCAATACGCAATCTCAAATTCGATGGCTGAGTTGGAAATGTCACGTCGGCGGTCGGCGCCTTGCGCTCGCAACGTAAACACGGCCTGCAATAGAAAAACTTGCGCTCTGATGTCATCGTGCAAACATAATAGTTTCGAATATAAAATTAGCCGCGTCGGGGCGGGCGAGGCGGCGGTTCATTGAGCGACGGGCGAGCGACGCGAGCGGAGCGCCGCAGGCCACCGGCGACCGAGCACGAGGTGCGACCTTGCACGTCACACGGCGCGGCGCGCGGCTGCGTCACGCCGCGCACGGATTATTTTCGTCGCCTTTTGGCAGCTTCCTCCCGGCGTGCGCTCCCAGAAGCCGCAATTCCGCAGCCCGAAACGAACGCGCGACTTACCGATTTTTTCCTTTTACAGATTGCGACAGACTCTAGCGGCGAGGCTCGCGGAGATCGACGACATTGTTTCCGAATTCGACCGCGTGGCGGAGAATATCGAGAAGCTCCGGCAGCTGATCGAGGTTTTCATAGCCAAAGTTGGAACTTTCTACGTTTTCGGGGAGAACGACGAGGAAGGCGTGCGAGAACTAGCCACCGAAGTTTCGGAGTTAGTCCAGCGAACGAAGAACTTCACCGAGGAGAGCCGCAAGAGATACGGCGGCTCCGCCCCGGCGGACATCGCACAAGAGCTGTCCGCTTTAGAACTATCGGCGGAGGGCCTGGCAGCAGCCATGGAGGAGAAGGAGAGGGAGTGGAAGCGCGCTCGCACTGCTCGCAGCGAATACGCGACCGATGTTGAGAGCGTGCAGGCGTGGGTGCGCGCGGCCGAGCTCACCGCGAGAGACAGGACGCTGCCGCCGGCGCCGTACCGCGAGCGACTAGTCGCCACCAGGGCAGAGGTGCCCAGCGTGGCCGACCGCCTCGAGCGCCTGACGCGTAACGCGCGCGCTATCGTCGAAGGCAGCCGCGACGCTGGGGAGCGGCAGCTAGTACAGTCGACGGTGATGGCGCTGTCGGATCAGTTCTCGGCCGTGTGCAGCGAGCTCGAGGCCCGCCAGGCGGCCGTTGAGGACGCATGCGACGCCGTGTCTAGGTTCCTTGCCTTGTTAGAGAAAGTTCTACTTTGGGTTGAGACACAGCGTGCATTCCTAGCGCGGCCACTCCCGTTGGCCGATTTGCAGGAGGCGCAGCAGAAACAGACTGAATATGGGGTAGAGCTTCTTTTCATTATTCTGCAGTTTGCACATTAGGTTTCATAATTTAAAACGAATATTTATTTTGTTTCAGAATGCTCTTAAAAGCTGCAAGCAGCAGGCTAAGAATCTCGCAGATATGACTAAGGAAATAGAGGCTATCGAGCGTGTAACAAGTCCCGGTGACTTACCTTCGAGATTAGAAGCGGCAGAAAATGCCACAGTCGATGTCGAGAAGAAATTGGCGAAGACGGTACGCTACATACAAGTTACATTTCTGGTCGTCTGGCAAAACCATCACTACCACAGTTTTAGTTTGACACATTGATCATTAACATTGTTTATTATTTTTCAGAACGGCTTACTACAAGAACTGGCCGAGGAATGGGAGAGATGCGAAAAGAAATTGAAAGACGTCGGCCACTGGGTCGAAGCCACGACGCGGACCATTGAGACACCTCAAAATGCAAAGAAACCACTCCGAGATAGACTCGCTCTCAGAGAAAAACTCATAAACGATATATCAACTCAAAAAACTAAAATTTCTTATGCCGTTGAAAAACTTAATGTGAGTTACCATTTCAGGGTTTTACATCAGACTTGTCAATAATTTTATTTCGGTTGTCGTTAGTGGCTTGTCGTCTCTTCGTTCGTCTTTTTTTCGTTTTTTTGATATTTGGTGGTGGTTGCTTTGATTTATTTTTTTGTAGCAATCTCTTTTAAATTGTATTCCAGGGAATTTAAAGTATGCTTGTTACAGGTACACTTCGGTCCCGACGGCGTGGCGTCGCAGTCGCGCTCGCCCGAAGGCGTGCAGAGAGCGGCCAGCGAGCTGTGCTCCGCGCTGGACGCACTCGGCGAGCAGACGGGCGCTCAGGCGCGCCAGCTCACCGCCGCGCTCCACCAGCTCGACGCGTACTGCGCCGAGCTCGCTCAGCTCCGCTCCCAGCTGCTGGACGCCGAGCAGCAGCTGCGCCACGCCGCGCAGCCCAACTACAGCCCTCGCGACCCCGAGCGCGCCAACAGACAGCAACAGGTAAGAAACATTTGCAGCAGAAATTCCTCACGTATTCACTCCCGCACCCACACTTGTAGGTGGCTAGCGAACGTTCTAGTTTTGTTTATCTCACTCTGAGGCTCTCTGGCGCCCGATACCGGGCCTTTGTGGCGTTGTGTACATTACTGGCATTCATCTGGTTTTTTTTGTTGCTCCCTTTTACCCCTCTACTAACTCGTGAAACGATATCCTCTGTTAGGCATGTCGAGAGAGAATTAAATCGCTTCAAAGCAAGATCCAAGCACGAAATGAGCGCATCAAACTACTTATACAGCGCGGTGGCCCGGACGCGGACCCGCTTAGGGACACGTAGGCGAAACGTCGAATGTAGCATTAAGTCGAAATTTAGTCATCTATTCCTATTATAATTTCATTTTAATACGAAATATACTTGAAATATCGCAGCCACCGTCGTTTTTTTTCACTACCTTCATCGCTCGCACGTCAGCGAACCTGTTGTAAATTATCTATGTCCGTACTTGCGTATCAGGAGGTCGCACGGCGTATCGAAGAGCTGACTCGGTGTATCTTCGAGTTGGACCCGTTCGTGGGCGGCGGCGACGAGGCTGGGACATTGAGCCTGCTGCTAGAAGCGGGCGAACGTGCGCGGGCCGAGCGCCGGCCGCGCTCTCCTCAAGTGTTGTCAGCCCCGCGCGCCGCGGCCGCACACTACACCCCGCGAGTCACTCCTGCCCCGCTGTCGACGACTTACGCCGAGATAGTGAAAGGCTTCAGCTCCCGCTCGAGCTCAGTTAGCTCCCGGCAGCCTAGTGCACAGAGAGTGCCCCTCGAGTCCCCTCAAACTCCCGCCGAAGAGGAATACATCTCAAGTGAAATATGTGCGCCAGTGTGTCTCGAAAGTGATGTGGCCGATGAGCCCAGTGATGTATACAGTGAGACTGTTGACGCAAGTGAAAGTGACGCATTCATGTCTGAATCTAATATTTATATCCAACCGGAAGAGAAACAATTGACTTCCCAAGTAACTATGGAAAATCAGGACTATCAAGAACAACAGATTTCCGAAAGTGGAGTATCTGAACAGATCGAGCAAGCTGCTATTTATGCAGAATTACGTCCGCATGAAGATCACGACAGATCACTTAGTCCCGCAACGAAATTGCGATCACATGATTTATCTTACGCAGAAATTCTTGCGTTAGGTCTTCGAAAACAGGCAAAGACCCAAAACATTGTAACATTACCTGAGCCACAAGTAGCACAGGTGGAGATGGTCAAAGAAATAATTGTAGAGGTGGAAAAAGCTCCCCCTATCATAGAATATGAACCCAGAGTTCATTCAACAGAATCGTTGCGAGTTAAAACGGACAGGTTTGAAAGACCGGTGCAGCGTAGTCGTTCTAGAGATATGCCAAGACAGAGACGTGCTCCTGAAAAACGGTCTACTAAGGCTCATGACACCCAAATTATTAAAAAGAAAAAACTTTCAAGGAGAGTTATTGAAGTTGAGAACTTTGATGACACTCCAGAACAACAGATGACAGATTCATCTTCCCCTTGCATCAACATACAATCTGTTCAACCAGATGATAAACCAAGTACTACTAGCTATAAGGAGTCGATTAAAAAAGTGCAGCATAGTGCAACTGTTGTCGAAACTGTAACTGTATCCGAAAGTTTACAAGATTTGACTAAAACTGAAAACGATCAGAAGAAACCTAAAAAGAAAAATAAACATAAAAAGTCAAAAGACGCGGATGACGAAATTGAGAAAGCCCTTAAAGAAATTGAAGTATCAGATAAACAGAAAAAAAAGAAAATTAAAGATAGTCGTGATAAAAGTAAAGAAACAATAACTAAGGGTACAGAATCGGATGAAGCGATAGATAAAAACGAAGTTATAATGAAACTATCAGACTTAAAGCATGATCACAAAGAAGGTTCTAATAAACAAAAGAAAAAGAAAAGTAATACTCGGGAATTACAGACCTATCAAATAACTGATCTGTCATCTGTTGCCGTTTCACAACAAATGACAAATAAAAAATTAATTACAGAAAAAGCCAGTTCTAGTAAGAATGATAATCCTGATATTTGTTCACGGGAACCAAACTCTGCTAATATTTTAAGAAACCCTAAATCCGCTGATGACAAAAATAAAACGATTCTAGAAGAAAGTAAGTGTGATGCACCCGATGAGGTTAGTAAACACACAAACCTTAAATATGAAATCAAACACGATAATGAAAAAGAATCCAAACTTACAACAGACATTTTATGTTCGACAAAAGATAGCAATGTTGAAAACATCAACCTTTCTACAGAACCAGAATTAGAAATAACATCTAAGCAAAAGCGGAAAAAGAAAAGTAAAAAGCAAGGAAAGACTGTCGCAGAGACACTCGTCGATGAAACTATAGCTGTAGCTATGGAAAAAGTAGGCAATGGAAATATACAACCCATTGCCATTACAGTTCAAGAAACATCCATTGCTCAAAAGAAGGTTGAAAAATCTAAACAATCGGACAAAATAAACGACAAAGCTAATATAAATGACGATACCAAACCACAGGATACCATTTTGGAAGTGACAGATTCTACTAAGAAACCAAAATCAAAGAAACAGAAATCTCTTGAAATAAAAGAACCTTCAACCCTGCTCACCCCGTTAAGTACAAATACTGATGAGGGAACAAGTTTTGAAACCTGTGTTGAAGTAGAATTACCTGAAGGAAAAGCGCATAAAAAGAAATCGAAAAATAAGAAACCTAAAATTGTTGATGACGAAATAGAACAAGCTTTGCGAGAGATAGATCAATCAATTAGTGCTAAAAAGAAATCCATCGAAAAGTCAGTAAAGACAAAAGATAAACATCTAGAATTAACGCAAGAAGTCAAAAAAGAAGCTCCTAAAATGCACGACGATGATAACTTAAATTTAAAAGATTCTGATATAATTTCAAGTGATCAGGAAGTCAAGAGTAGCCTTGTAACTATGGATTGGAATACTTTAATGGCTGAAGAGGAAAATATTCCTGAATCAGAACTAACACCCATCACTCAACCTAGCATACAGACTGATTTGTCCCTGGAAAGTGAACAAGTAGCTACTGAAGTTACTATACTTCCAGAAGTTATTGATTTAACAAATATAGGAACCGAAGGAAAAGATTGTTTCGATAAGGAAAAATCTGAAACAACTCAAAACACTGTCGCCCTTCAAAGTATTTCTAATGAGCAAAATAATAATAAAACATTAAGAGCTGATAACCTGAAAGACAGCTCGTTCAATATAGTAGAGGAAATAACTCGATACGAACCTATTCTACAAGACATGGAAACACGCACTATTTACTTGATAACACATGAAGAGAAAAAATTACCACCTATAAGAACTGTGAAAGTTTTCAATTCAAAGACAAATTCTTTGAGTTGTGATTCTCAAGTTAAAAATGATGCTGAAATTATTACTGAATCTATAACTTCTCAAGAAAATGATGATAATATCTTGGAAGAACCAATAATTTCTTCTGAATTAGTCACAGAATCTTCATCACAGGATTTGAATTTGGTCGAAGACAGTCAGGGTACGAACGTGATTGTTGAAGAACAATCGGTTAATACCGAATTGGTATCTATTTCCAAAGATGGTTCTGATGAGATCACATACAAAGACATAACGTATTCACCTGAAAATGATTATAAAGACAATGTCGCTGATGATCAAAATGAAACTAACATTGAGGAATATCAGTGTTCTAACATGGAAGAGTTCTCAGAAAATATCCTTGAACATGCTATATTTGGATCGGTACAAAACCGCCAACGAGTACAATTAAAAACTAGTACCATTCCATATCAAGAGTTAGAAGAGATAAAAACGTACTCATTAAATCTTGACATTGATCAATTGGACTTCGATTACTATCAACTATTGAATAAAGAAAGTAATTTATCTGCGGAATATCAAACTGATCATGAAAGTACAGCAATTCGTGAAGACGACAAAGATCAAGCAGATGGCGAAGTAGTTCAAAACGCTTCTGTAACGTTTTCTTCTTGTGATATAACTGAACAGTCTGGGCTTGAAGAACAGTTGCATTATGATGCCACAAAGCCTGGAGATATTTTATTCACATCTCATACCGGGAAATCTGAGGTGGCGTATCCTGATGAGAAAAACATAAACGATATAAAACCCGCACCTCTTGAAAATAAAGCTACAATTGTAGTATCTTCAAAAGATGCACTCAATGAAGCAGATTGTAAAAATCGTGCAGAAACCAAGAGCATTGAGGTACCACCTACAACATACTTGGAAATTGTTCTTGATACCCAAAGTTTTTATACAACGACATCGAGCTTAGAACATACCCAATCACTCGCAAGTGCCACTACGGAATCTGATAATAAAGAAAAACTATCCGTTGAAGCTGGAAATATAGGAATAGAAAAAGATGTTTTAAGATCAAATTATAGTATAAATATTGAAGAGATCGATGCTGTAAAAGTGCTTAAGAACGAAATACCTCGCTATGATTATCATGAATTAGCTGACTCTGAAAAATTCTTAGGGATTGTTTATCCTAAAGAGACTTCACCAATACCTGAATCAAATACAAAAACAGACAACACAGAACCTGAAAAACATGAAACAAATGTTTTTGACGAAGAAACTAATCCATCAAACACTTTGATCGAGACAGTACTCAAAGAAGAAATATTACCAGAATTGGTAACGCAAAGTCAGGATACTGAAGAAGCAAATTCTACTTATTTATCACTGAAAAGATTTAATGAAGATTTTTCGCTTCACTGTATTTACCATTATATTGCTGACGCTGAAAAGATCTATCCTCGTCTTGTAGAAATGATTAACCAAAAACAGGATATTGCCCCTAATGATGGAAATATTGAAACAATTCAAAACACCCAAGTTTTAATCGACGTTGACACAGTTGAGGAAACTAAGACAGTTGCAGAAGCAGACAACATAAATAAAACCGTAAACTCACCAGATTCATATGATAAAGATAACTTAAAGTTAGATAGCAAATGCTTATTGGAAAGTAAGTCAAATGATATCGAGATAATATATTTTGAAAAGCCCAAATATGACTATCACGAGCTGTCTAAAGGTGAATCACTGTTAGCTTCTGTTTTGTCTAAAGAAAAATCAAAAGTCGAGCGAGATGATCAAATGAATATTCCAACAGACGAGCAATTTTCTGTATTGATTGAAAATGATAATAAAGAAGAGGAAATCAATTCGCAAAATATAAATACAGTTGACAACAAAGAAACAACGACAATTAATGAAATATTAGAGCAAAATTATCATGAAATTCGTGACGCAGAAAACAGATACGCTTTAAATCTAAGCAAATCAAGTGTTGACATAGAACCAACCCCTCTTCTGAAGGATACAGTAGATCTAGTACAGGAATCTGAAATTAATGAGTTACCTACTGAAACATCACATCAAAATGAAAGTGAAAAAGCTGTAAAGCAGAGTTTCGAAGAAACTCACAAACAAGAAGAAGTAAAGTTGACGGAAAACATCGCCAAGGATTCTTCAACATTACATAGTGAAGAGTCACAAGCAGTTTTTTATGAACCAATAAAATACAATTATATTGACTTAAAGGAAGCTGAACGTATATTTGCTCAAAACGCTACGTGTGTGCTTTCGTATAACGATAATTCGATAGATTCCGTTTCCGATAATGACACCATTGAAAAAACACTAGAAAAAATTGATGATACCTGCGTTACACAGAAATTCGATGCGAAAGATAACAACGAATTAAAAATTGAATCGGAAACAGAAGTTTTCAAACATAATAGTAAAAATGAACAAACAAAAACACTCGAAACACATGAATTTAATACACTTGTGCCCGCAGTATTTGGCGATGTAGCAATGGTCGCTACATCTATTTTGCAAAGAGAAACGAATGAGAAACAAGAACAGGATGAAGCGAAAAAGCAAGAAGTTGGTAAACAAAATGAAGAATACACCGATCAAGATAAATCTGAACAAGTTGAAACACCAATGAAAGAAAGCATAGTAGAAGATTTTGTCGTGGTAGAGAGCACACATCTTAATTTACCATATTCAGAAATATGTGTAGAAGAAACTGCAGATTCAGTTCAAGAATCTAATGCAAATCTTGGTGATGAGCTTGATTTCGAACACTCGTTTGAAGTTATTGATCTAGAAAAGGATGCGTCATTTGAAATACAAGAACCGACAGAAATTAATAGTAATTTGGAAAAGTTTTTAATAGTCGAAGGACAATCAACAACCCCTAGTGTTGACATCTGTCCTGCTTCTATAGAAAATGTTGATGTTTCCTCTTCGGCGGAACTTGTAACGGAACCTAAAACAGATGAAGTCCTTAACAAAGAAGAGATATTAGAAATATCAAAATATGAAATCGTGCCTGAAACTATCTCGGCGAAATTTATCGAAGCGGAAATCGTTCATTCCGTATATTCCACACCCTTAAGTACTGATACGCAACAACAGGTTAGCAACGTTATGAGTACGGAACCCGATAAAGTAATCGATAAGTCTATAGATCACGAAATAGATTCAGAACAAGCTTCTCAATCACAAATCGAAATTAGTAATCGGCCTGAAAAATCTCCCATTCATAGTTTACATGATCTACTTCCAGAAATCGATTCCATACCTGAATTTAAACCATCCTTCTCAAATACAGTTCTTAATTCAAAGCTTTCAGCTGATGCCCCTGAATTTACACCTTCCTACTTGTACAAAGCGACTGATCATACGCCATCTGATTGTAAACAAATAAACACGCAGACATTTAATTTCGCTGAACAAGTAACGATACAAACTGATAAGCATCAAACTAACGTTACACCCATAACATACTCTTCGATCTTATCATCTATGAAAGAGCAGGAAACATGTGATAATAATCTCAAACAAAAAGAAAGTGAAATATTGAGTGATGTTAAAAAGAGTGAGACGTCCCCTGAAGATAAGTTGGAGCCAAAGTCAAAACGTAACAAAAAACAAAAGCAAAAAGACAATAAAAAGGAAAAACATGCTATCAAGGACGAGACATCAACAATTGTCACTCCCGTCGAGGAAGTTTCTTCTGTGCGAATTTCCGAGGAACACAAACAACAGTCTGGCCCCGATCACGTAGAAAACGTTTGGACCAAACTAGCAGATGATGGTAAATCTTACGCTGAAGTTTTAGCGGAAGGTTTGATCGAACAAGAAATTTCACCAATCCATGTTATAGAAAACCAAGAAGTAGAACACAAAGCGGAATCTATTTTAGAGGATAAATCAGAATCTTTTGATAATGAGCCACTTCGGTGCGAAGTAGCAGATGACAGTCAGGAAGTTCATGGCTCATGGGCGAAAATAGTTGCTTCGAATCGACCATCGCCTGAAAGAGTTCAAAAAGTTATATCGCAGAATGAACCAATTCAATCAAAGTCTAAAGCCCCTATTATCTTAGTTGATGAATCTGACTCGGAACATAATAAACCTGACTTAGAAATTGATGCTGAAGGATTTATAAAAGTTGACAGGAATAGACGTTCGAGATCTAAGTCAAGGGATAACCGTTCCGTTTCAGTTACCAGGGTGCTGCGACAAAGTAATGTCCGAGAAAAATCTGAAAATAGGTTTATAGCTCTGACAAGCTCTTTAAAACCTGATGATGGAGAATCAATGCAAAGTAGCCGTTCTGACGAAGAAAAAGAACCGATAAAGAAAGGAAGAAAGAGCCGATCAACAAAATCTAAAGAAAAAGATGTAAAACCAAAAGTAGCCCAGATAGCACCCAGTACCTCAGATGAAGAAAAGCAGCCTATAAAGAAAGATAAAAAGAAGAGATCTTCAAAATCTAAGGAAAAGCTAACTAAACCGGTAGAAGGAGCCGAGCCTTCCGAGTTGTTACAGGAAATTAAAGAAGTAGAGCCAATTGTCGCTCAGCAAAAAGAAGGTCCCTCGGCTCAGTCTCCACAAGTGTCGACGTCAGAAAGTAAAAAGAAATCCAAAAAGAAAAAGAAGGAGAAGAAAGCGTTTAAAGACACAACTGAAACTCCATCCCCAGTTGATATTACTTCCTCGGAAATAGAAACTTCAGAACCAAAGTTTGCTGTACCATTAAAATCCATTGAAACTCCAATTTCGACACCAGAATCAATTGAAACTCCTATTAAAGACAGATTTTACGCTGAAGCCCAATACTGGAAAGTAGATCCTAGCACCGTTGATGATCTTACTAGTATATCTGAAATTCTTACGGTTAAAATTGATTATGATGATAATAACAAACAAGAAAATATTGTAATCGAAGTAGAACAGGCTCCAGAAAGCAAAATCACAGTTGAAGCAACAAAAATCGACTATGAAAAATTAGAAAAGGAGCCCATTTCAAAAGAAAATAATGAGTGTGCTTTTAGTCCGAAAACAATTGAAGCACAAAGAATATCCGATGAACAATCGTTAGAAAATAAAATGGCCGATTTACAAAGAGAAATAGAAGAAATGTTACTCCCTGAAAATGATACTTCTTTAGCAAGTGATATAACACCTAAAGAACTAACAGAGATGCAAACTTTATTAGATGATCAACAAGATGAAGTACTGGAAAACATAACCCCCTCGTTGGCATCGCCTGAACCTGAAGATACTTTGTTAGAAACTCAGATTCCTCAAAAGGAAATAATATTGACCACGGAAGACGAAGTAAAATCCATCCAAGACATAAAAACCTCAGATAAGAATTTGATCAAAGATATTCTAGTCGACACACGCGAATCTGTGATCGACTCACTAGCTTTGGCTGAAACGTCTGTGCAAATTTCAAATGAGAGTCACGTCGAAGGTGTAAATTCTACAACTAACAACTCATTTACACCATCTACTAACAATCTCTTAGATATACAACAAGATAATTTTTGGACAGAAAAGAGTTTAATAGACGATGCGGAAAAATTGCTTGTCGAACAAATTATACCTAAATTAGATAATTTTGCTTCTCCTGAACAAAAACCTGACGGAAATCTAGAACAAATCGTGAATTCGAAACAAACTCTTTCAACCGATTCCGATATTGTGTGTAATGTGTTTATAGAAGTGCCTTTTTGGCCTGAAAAGCATTTATATCATGATGCTGAACGCGAATATTTCTTACAAATAGCTAAGAAACAAAAAAATCAAATTCCAATAAACACTGACATTGAAAATACGGACAAAAAAGACAAAGATAAAGATCCTAGCAGTGGTTCGGGTCACTCTTCAGAAACTGACGAACCACGCCAATCTAGCGGTTCTCCGTTCGATTCCAATTATTTGTCAATGGATCTTCCAGGCGGTATTTGCAGCTGGAAAGATCATAGTTCTTATTTGAGTTTGGAAACACCTTCAGATTCACTGACGGGCTTGATAAGTGAGGATACATCTAAATTAGGTACCGACATCCCAGAGGATAAACTAACCAACCTATCCCTAGTACCAGTTGCCTCTCTCCCCCCCGAGCAGGAGTCGCCGCCGCAGGATGAACAGAACCGGACCACAGCCAAGGTGATCGAGCGACACTCGTATTGTACTCTTTTACAATATTTATTTTATGTTTGGCATGAATTTATAACGTTTTATTTTATCACAATTATTATAAGAATTGTTGTTGTAAATCGTCGTCGTCTGCAGAATTCGCCGTTCGTCTTGTAGAGCCATCTGTTGGCAAAAAACTAATAATCTCTTCACACTAAACACGTTTAGCGTAATTGTAGAAATTGAAAGTTAATATATGCAATTTATAGAATTCTAGTCATGTCTAGTCACTCAATACTAATTAAATTAATTCTCGAGTCATTTTTTTTATTGTAATAAAATAAATGTTTGTGCAAAGATTGTTTTATTTTAATTGACATCGTATAACACAATACACCCCTGTTAAAAGTAAACACCAAGATTTGGCTACTACGAGACGATCGACGAAATTATTGCTTTAAATGGATTTATTTTTAGATGTTTATTTTTGGCTTACTTTATTTTACAATAATGGGGAGGACGTCACATTCGTTATAATCAACATATTGTAAATACTTCTTAAGAAGGTTGGTCAATAGACATAGTTTTTTAAACCCTGTAATTGTCTTTATTGACCCCTGTGTAGGTTGTTACCTTCCCTTGTTGTTTTCAAATGATGAAGACACTTTTTTTTTAATTTGCGTTTTTATTTTGAGTTTATGGTTTTAAGCATCCATTCAAAAATGCTCGCTTGATAACGCGTCTGACACGATCACAGCTTAAAACACGCAAAACTAATGCAAAAAATTTTTTTAATACTTTTCCAAAAATTTTTAAGTTAAATTATTCGATGTGTTAAGTGAAAAATATCACTTATCAAGAATTAATCCTAAATTTGTTTAATATTTACGTTATGTTTTTTCTGATTAAAATATATCGCTGTGTTTCTGCATACATTGCCAATCGTACGACCATAAAACACGAGCATATCCCACTTGAATAGCTTTAGGTGTTTTTATCATGATTAAGAGAATATTCCAGACAAGCATGTCGTGCCAATATTGACATTTTGAAGCTATTAATAAGTTTGCGTTGTTTATCGTGTTGCTAACTTTAACCGGAGTAGTTTGCAACTCAAAATTCTTTTACCCACGGACTTCGATTGCCGTGACACATGAATTGATGGCAGTTGTCTCTATTTTTACAAAGATAATGAAAGGGATGACATTATGTTTTAAAACAAGTGTTGTTGCAATCGAAACTTATAGTTCAGTTTACATAAATATCATTTTTCATGTAGAGTCAAAGCTAATCGTGAATTTTGAGTTGAATCCATTCCGACATCTAGTCCCTTGCATCTGAATGTTGTTACGGACTATTTTCCCTTGCTAGGAAACAATATGACGTGGAATTTTCAAGTTTTATAATCTTATTACAGTAAATAATATTTGGCACGTGGAGAATAAGAGTATTCTTTTTCCCGACGTGCCAACTCAAACTGTGAAATCAACATGACTAAAAAATTCCACGTCTCCAATAAAATGTAGTGTCGTTTGACTAATACAGTTGTGTGTTTTTAGGATAACTTATCTAACAATCTTGAGACACTCCTCGAGGAAGTGAGGATTGTACAAGCTCAGCTTTCAGACCTGCCAAATGAAACACTCGATGCAATGGAAGCCGGCCTTAAGGTATTCATTGTATATATATCCTTTTTATCTTATTACGGACTGAAAATTTAATTAACAATAACTATCGTGTAGTTTAAATGACAATCATCATCATCAGCTCACTGCATGTCCCCACCGAGGGGCTCGGAGTCTACCCTAAGTTAAGGGTGATTAGGCCATAGTCAACCACGCTGGCCAAGTGCGGGTTGGTTGACTTCACACATATCTTTGAATTTCTTCTCAGATGTGTGCAGGTTGCATCACGATGTTTTCCTTCACCGTAAGAACGTCGGATAAATGTACATATGTAAATCGGAAATCGAAAAACACATTGATACATGGCGGGATTCGAACCCAGGACCTGCAGATTGCAAGTCAAGTGCTTGACCACTGAGCCACCGACGCTCAAATACAATATTACACATAATATATAAACATGTTTTCAAATCAGAGCATTTTAAAGGTTTTTAATGTCGATTTTAACTCCTAATTTATATGTCTTCGTGTAACTGTAGGTTTTCACTGCTGATTGCTTGAAACATCATTGTTATCTCGTTTTCTGAAAGGATGAAAGAGATGACGATACGTTTTTGTTTAATAGTATCTGCAATGGAAACCCACGGTTAAAACATTTGTGATAACAAATTAATTCGCAGCAGATTATTCGAACATCAAAGTTCAAGCCTCAGTTTAAACAAAACTAGAACATCTCTGATGTAATTTCATTCAAAGTTTTAAAATATATTACTTCTTAGAAACAATTTTAACAGTGGTAGAGCCCGCTTTAACATCATCGCACGAATCGGCCCGGTTCGCCCGGTGAAATACCACGACCACACAGAAGACATGCGTGAAGTGGAAGCAATTCCGCGTTTCGTCTGATGAGTGTGCGTCCCGGAGGCCTAATTTAGTCATCTTTTTTCCCACCTTTTTTCTTATAAGGAAAGGATGGGAAGTGGAAATGGACTTTCCGGATGAGAGGATGCATGGAAAGGGAAAATATTTTCTTTCTGTGCATCCTCTCCGTTGATTAAAGGTAGCAACGCATATGCGATTACGTATGTCTATGGGCAACGGTCACTTCGCTATTTCAGTGATTTCAAGTGGCCGCTCGCTCGTTTGCCACCTTATAATATAAAAAAAAAATTGTATTAATATTAATATTCAAATGATATCATAATTATTTTTAAAAGTGACGTTGCGTGTGATGTCATATTCGAGTATATTTATGTATTTGTGGTTTGTTTAGTTGGCATCAAGTTGACTTTGAGTTACACATATTTCATGATTCGTCTTTAAAACTAGGTCACCACTATTTACATTTGTGTCCGACTGAAATATTCGAACTTGGCAAGCTTAACTTTTGTCCGTTATATTTCAATTCAGTAATCGACTGTTATATCATACTAATATTATAAATTTGAATGTTTGGAATGATGAATGTTTGTTAGAAGGTATCACCAAAACTACTCCATGGATCTCGATGATATTTGGCATAGATGTAGAACAATGCCTGGAAGAACACATAGGATACTTTTTAAGTTTTTTTTCTAATTCCGCGCGGATGGAGTCGCTAGTAGGAGACGGCTAGGAGGTTGATAAATGCAATAAATTTAAAATCAACTTTGTGAAAACAAAAATGCAAATGTTTTCTCTGTATAGATTGCTTATGATCCGGTATATTCAAATAATTTCTCATTAATTAATTTAGATGAAAATGATTCACATTAAGGTGTGTTTCCACTGACAATCGACCTTTCTTTCACCTTACAATGATTAATAGAATTAAAAGGATACTATGAGTCATGTATATGTAAGTTATCTGTTCATATTGGCTGTAAGCTGATGATGAATTTTACAAGACAGTGATGACATCATGCACTTGCCGGTTACGAAACCCCGTGTTAATAATAAACTACATTTGTTTGCTATCTCTCTGTTAGTACTGTCGTGTTTGTCTGCGATGTAAATCATCATTCGATATAACGAACGAATACGAACTTTAAATCGATTTTGTAATTGTTTAGTGAAGTTTTTTTTTTGTTAATTATTCAACTGTTTGTTTCTTCTATTTGCAATATTTGTGCGACTGCTGGAAGTCAAAGGTAACAGCGTTTTTTTTGACGATGTGTTTGTGTAAATTTATTTAGTCGGAACAAAGGGTAAGTTCGGAGCCCCTCAGTAGATATGTATAGTGAGCTGATGTTGATTTAGTCGGTTTGGGAATATTTACACAAGGCCTACTGCTCGTTTTCCCTATTTTACGATAAAATAGTAAGTTTTTTTTAATTATTTGATTTATAAATTGGTAGCCGAAATATTGACTTATGTCATGACCATGGATTTTTTTAATTAGTTCAGTTTAATTATTCCGTTTTTCATACATTTCTTATTTATATGTTGGTTAGTTACGTGTTATGTTTCAACGGTCTTATTAAAATAGTATTTATCTTACTAAAATTATAAGTAAGAATTTTTAGATGTATGGATGAATGGATGTCCATGAATTTTGGTATACGTATAGAATAGTCTGGAAGTCACATACGCTACTAATTTTGTTTTTTTTAATTCCACGCGGACGGGGTCATGCGCCACCGCTATGTCATAAACGAACTAACATACTGTTTACATAAACATAAAACATTTTTCAATAATTAATTATATTTGCAAAGTATATTAAGAATACTCATTTTATAATTGAAATAAAAATGTGCCCTTTAAATTTCAGGAAGGTATAGCAGTTCTTATCAAGTGCGAAGAAGCAGCAATACTTCTAGAACAGAAGATAATGGAATATGGACATGAATCAGAAGTTCAGATTTTACTCAAAGAACTGGTCATGATGAAAGCAAGAATCAGCAAGTTGTTAGAACAAGCGCGCCAGGGTCTTCACACCATCAAGGTAAGAAAGGTAATTATATTGATTTTTTTTTTGTTAAATACTATATTATTTTATTTATTTATTAAAAATGTACACAAATTGCATCTTCAAGAAACACGAGCATGTCCAAGTAACACACAGCCGTGACAGGCGTACACAGCATCATAGTATCATCATCATCAGCTCCCTATACCTTCCTACTAAGGTAGTCGGAGCCTACCCTAAGTTAAAGGTGACTGAGGCATAGTCAACCACACTGGCCCAGTACGAGTTGACTACACATATCTTTTGAATGTACTCTTAGATATGTGCAGGTTGTATCACATAACACATAGGCTACTGTGTTTTTTTTTATTCCATGTGGACAAAGCCGACAGCTAGTATACAGTATATAAATTTACATGTATATAAATTAATTTTATTCGTATAACTAACGTTCAATAATTTTATACTTTCAGGATGCGAAAATTGATATGGAAATTCAATCGAAGCAAATTGAAGAGCAGAAGGAACAGATCGCTAAGCTGGATCACTGGCTCCATACAATAAATACAGAACTCAATGTATCAACAAAACAAAGCGAAGTACTCACAGAAGAAGATATTATAAGATATATAGAAATTTATGAACGTTACATCAGACAATACGAAGAATATGAAATTATTTTAAAATCCATAACTGTGATAAGTGTTGATGAATCTAGTCAATCTATGCAAATGAAATTAAATGCATTGAAGAAAACATTAGAGGAATCGCGAGTTCTAGTCATTGCTGAAATAGAGAGATTGAGACAAATATTGATTAATATCAAATATACAGCTGATGTTGAAGAAGACGTTACACAAACTGATCGAACAATTGATTCCACTTCAATGCCGGAGGAAATTGTTTCTCAAAAGATTATTGAGACTGTCCAAGAAGTACCAAGCGAATCTACTAAGACTGTTCCTGAAGATGCACAATTTAAATCTACAGATAAGGATAAAACAGTAGAGGAAATAAAATCTCCCAAAATTATTGAATCTAAAAATTCAACAACTATAGAAACTCAAACTGGAAAGAGTCTTATTTCCGATCCGATTCCGTCTCTGCACGATAAATCTGTTATCTGTCAACCAGAAATTATAGAAACTCAGGATGTTTCCATAACTTGTGCGCCGCCATTAGAGGTGGAAGTACAGACAAGTGAACAAAAATCAGTAGACGGAGTATTGCTCGAGAACATTCAAGTCAAACAAACTACATCAGAAGGCCATGAAACTATTATAATCTCAAGTCGACCTGTAGTCAGAGAAAGAGCTATTGATGAATCCTCACTTTTAGTCGATGCTGACTACGAGGGTGATAATCAAACTAAAAACTCTGAATTGAACATAACACATAGTGTACCTCAATCCTTTGAAACCGTAATGGTGGAACCCGATGAAACAACCACAGAAGTGGTAGTTGATGCTGATGGTACAAAGAGAATAATCGTTAGAAGGGTTAGAAAAACATTAGTCACAAGACAACAAGTATTACACACACAGGAACGTTCTTCACACGTTCTAACAGACTCCGATGCTCATCGAGATCACACGTTCCAACAAATAACATTGAAAGAAGATCAAGGTTCTACTTCTCATACTTTTGATGATGGTGGAATCCAAAACATTCAATATCAAACATATGACGGTCAAGTCATCACAGGACTTCCGGGAAGAGAAATGACGATCCAAGAATTTACATCTAAACCAGAAATGATCATCTCTATGGGCCAAGATATGAACCCAGACCAAATCCTTCAAATAGCAGAAGGCAGGATTCAACCTGAAATTCAGACATCTTCATCTAGTGTTACAGCTGTTGTTGAACAAGTCACAAAGAGAATTATCAGAACAAGACGTCGTATTATTCGCCGCGTCGTCATTATCGACGGTAAAGAGCACGTCTCTGAAGAAATTATCGAGGAACCTGACGACGTTGAAGTTTCAGAAGAACAAATACCAAGAGTATCTATAAACATCAATGATACAAATGTACCTGTCGACAAGAGTGATGCTGATGATGATGATAAACGACCACCTGATGATCGTAATACGAAAAAAGACGATAAAAAAGACAGTGATATCCCAGACGACAAAAGGAAACAAGTAGATCGTAGGGATGATCCTACAAAACCGAAGGCTCACGACATACAAGAGGCGAAAGATGAAACAGTCGCTGAACCTGATAGCAGTATCCAGGAACACGAATCAAGATCTAGTCAATTATTGTTATCGGGTAATGAAGTTACGCAATTAGAGACGTCATCATCGCATTTTGCAACACTTACTCAAAAAGTAACGAGAACAATAACAAGAACAAAGAAACGAATAATCAAACACATTCAAATAATCGATGGAAAAGAACATGTGACGGAAGAAGTGGTAGAAGAACCTGATGACGTTGAAATTGTAGAACTTGAGCCCGAAGAAACTCAAGTAAGTCTTGGTGAGGGCACTAAAATGAAAAGAATGAAGATTATTAGGCAAATACAAATTATTGACGGCAAAGAACATGTCACAGAAAAAATAATTGATGAAGATGATGACACGTATAAGCCAGAGATTTCGGCATCCAATGCAGAGCCTTCTTACCCTCAACAATATGTCGTAAGCGAACCAGAACAACTCCAATTTACAACAGCAGATAAAAAAATGACTAATGTTGCTGATTTAACTTCTAGTTTATTAGCCAGTGAAATTAGTCATAGTTCAACACAAAAAGATCAAAGGGAATTAGTTGAAGAAAGAGTGGATGATAAAAAGAAAGATTTACTCAGTACAAAGCAACCTAAGGATACAAATGAATATACTATAAAAAAAGAAGTAGTGGAAGAAGTTGATAAAGATTTGCACAAAGATACTTTACAATATTCAACAACAGACAACATACACACAGGACTTTTAAAACCAGAAGACAGTATTGTAATAGACGAACTTCCCAAACCTATTGAATTAACTTCACCAGACAAAGCAAATGACAAAATCTTAAAAGAACGTACAGAAATTGAAATAATTACTGAAGATGTACCCAAAGACAGTGTTATCCAGGAATATGAATTTGATGTTTCTGTTCCGGAAGAAAATGTTGTCTCATTTGGTGAAAAAATATGGGAAAGTATGACAGGATCATCCTCAACTGTAATGCAGAAAGGTTTGAGTACTGTGCCAAATAGATATGTAACAAAAATAATAAAACGGGTAATAAGACGTGTTCAAGATATTGATGGAAACGAACAAGTCACTGAGGAAATTATTGAAGAACCGGAGGAAATGATAACCGAACCTGAAACAATAACAATTGAAGAAGACGGAGTCAAAACCAGACGCATAAAAATAATAAAGAATGTCCAGATAAATGATGGCAAAGAACAAGTAACTGAACAAATACTAGAAGATGCGGATGATGAATACATTCCGGATTCTACAGTTACGGCTAATATTGATGTTAAAATTGGTGCATACGAAAAAACTCTTTTAGAAACAGAACCTGCTGATACCAAAGGATCAGTAATAGAAAAATTGCAAGATGCAGAACAGAAACCACAAGAACTCTTATCACCACTTGAAATTTCAAAAGGATTCATTGATCGTGAAAAGGAACATACCGTTTCTACGGTAACGTTATCTACAAATCAACTCACAACAAAAGAAGACATCAAAGAAATAACAACTCAACCTGAACCAGATGTAGAAAAACAAACTAAAGTTCCTGAAAGCAAAGAAAATGTATCTCCCACTTCAACTGACTTAGATACTGGAATTACTACCATTGTTCAAGAGGTGAGAAATGTGGATGTCCCTGACACAGCGAAAACAAGAGATTTATGTGTTACAGACGACTTAACATCTAGCAAAATCAATTTCGACTCAGATGTAAGCACAAAAGAACAGGATATTTTAAGTAAAACTGAATCTGTTACACAAGTTATAACTAAGACAAGTGATTCTGAAGTTCATGAAGTAGTTCCACAATTTACCGAAGCTGTAATATCAACTGCTAAACCAGCAACTTTACCTGAACCCATAAAGGCTAACGCTGAAGATATTATCATTCAGGATAACCAGTTTCCAACCTTTGATAAAGTGAAATTAGAGGGAACTCAAAAGAACTCTGTACTTGATGTTACTAAAAGTTTGATTGATAGTGAAACTAGTCATGATATTGCTCTTGAATCGTCTGAGACCATCCGTATAGACAAAGACGTTGAAACTAAACCTGAAGTGGGAGTATTTATTCCAGACGAGACTGTCTCCACCACCGAAGCAAGCATCATCGACGTTCCTCTAGAGAATGTTGAACAAGTTCCTGTAAAGGAAAAAGAATTGACAATAGAGACACGTAAGCCCGAAAACAAACCAATAAACAATGAATTCATTATATCTGATGGACAGAGTGATTTAAAGAATACTTCCATTCTTGATGCAACAAAATCTTTTCTAGGAATGGAATCTGAACATTCATCTATTAATCTAAAGGTTAGTGAAGTGAAAACTGAGCCACAAAGACAAACTTCCATTTCTGCCGATGTAAATACAGACAAAACAACCATAAAACAAGGTGTCACCGTGACTCCTACAGAAATACAATCTGATGACAAATCAATAATACTTCCCAAAGAAGAAATCAGAGATGTCGAAGAAATACTTTCTCCAGTCGAGCAGAAAGAAAGTGAAAAGGTCGATTTACCGGGACAAGATGTTACGCATTCGTTTGTCGAGAAAAATATTTTGATATCTAAAACCGAGGACACCGTTCCAATAATAAAATCAGAAGACTTAATATCTCCAAAAGACGAAATAGAAGTGTTTAGTAAAGAGTTACATGAAAATATTCCTACACAAGTACCTTCAATCAGTGAAGATAGTCCTATCATTTCAGAAAAAGATGACAAAAATATAATAAAAGATAAGAAAGAACACGAAGCCACTACTGGAACAGAAAAAGACATGGAATCCGTGGGTTGTCAGATGCAAGAACAAGATGGTAATATAAAATGTATTAAAATAATTAAACAAAAAGTACTAATTGGTGATCAAGAACACACCATTGAAGAAATCGTTGAAGCACCAACTGATGCCTCTCTACCTAAATCTGGTTTTACTACTCAAATTGATCTATCTATTAGCAAAACTGGAATTCAAGAAAAAGAACTAAGTGAAACATTAAATATTGATTCAAAACCAGTAGTGTCTCCGACAGGCACATTAGGTGTTGGGAATACCATTGATTTTATTATGAGTGAAGCTGCTCATACTTCTCAACTACTACATTCTCTAAAAGATTTATCAGATAAACCACAAACGATTGAAAAACTTAAAAAAGACGTCGATCGTTCAACAAAATCGGTTGTAAGTGCACCTGAACAAATCCAAATTGTCGATCAGCTACCAAAATCGGTTGAAAGTGCAACTAAAGAATTCAAAATAGTCGATCTTTCATCAAAATCAGTTGAAAGTGAACCCGAACAAATACAAATTGTCGATCATTCATCAAAACTTATCGATAGTGTACCTGAACAAATCCGAACTGAAGTGTCTCGAAAGTGTGAATCGAAAGATACAACTGATTCAATTGAAAAATACTCTGATGAATCAAATGAGGTTAAAGTACCAGAGCCAGACACCATTGGAGTTTCAACAGTAAAATCTGGATTGGAAAAAGTTGAAACACAAATATTAAGTCATATGACAGTTGATGCTGGTATCACGCAGACAACGGTTGATGTTACTCCAATACATACAGAATCTCCAATGACTGAAGTTGACATAGCTGTTCAGCCTGCGAGTTCAGAAATATCATACATAACGCAATTCCAACCTCAACAAACAACACGTGACGAACCGCAGCAAACAACGCTTGACGAACCTTCAGAAATTACCATAATCAAGACACCAGCTGCCGATTCAAGAGCTGAAATTACAAAATTCATAGATTTAGAACGACATGATACACATATACGCGACTTGATGCTAACTGGACCGGAAGATAAAGCGATACAAGCCAATGTGCCAAAAGATGATATACATCTGAGTACTGCGCAAACAGTTGATGTTTTTATGTCTATTGAAAAGTCTGATAGTATTAACAAAACCTTACCTAGTTTACAATTAGATCTCAAAGTTGAAAATTCAGACCAGGAGATTCCGTCAATAGTCAAGAAAGATGTAGATGTAATTCTTCCAGCAGATGTGAAGATCACTAGAGAACCAACTATACAACAATTTGTAGAGACAGAACCTGTTCCAGAAACTTTAGCGCATCCAAAGACAAGAGAAACACCGGAGGAGAAAGATAAAGTTAAGAAGAAACCTAAAAAGAATAAGAAACAAAAACGTACATCAGAATGCAGTGAATCTATTGAAATACATACAGAAACAGACCGGACTATTAATGATACAGAAAGTTCATCTCTGGGGCATTATGTCGAGCTCCCCGTCTCACCTCATCTTGATTCTCCAAAGCCCACTGAGAGTGTCATACAAACAAGCATTTCACATCAAGAAGATTTCAAGACTTCTCCTATTTCGATAGTATCGGTTACAGAAGATAAAGGATATGAGCCTGAAGATATATCTTTGTGCCCAACACCTTCGCCAGATAAAAGGAAACGAGGCAAAAGACGTAAACCCCAGGTAATCAGTGAACTGACAACATACCCTAAACAACAAACTACAGAAGAAGCTTCATTAATATCTTCCTCGGTCGATACCGATGAGGATCTAAGACAAGTAAAAGATATGGAAAGTCAAGAAAAGGGTGGAAAAGACTCGGTGGAAGGTCCGAACCCAGAGGAACCAAAGCGTTCGGAGAAACCTGAATTAAGTGAAATAATAAGTTCTGAGACTATTTCTAATTCGCCGAAGGAAGAATCGTGCCATACTATTAGCGATGTATCAGATGTTAGCACCGTTAAGATTGTAGAAGAATGCGTAACTGGCAGTCCTGAAATGGTACACGATAAGATTTCAACAACTGTTACTTATCCAGTACCAGTCGTCGAAGAAATTCTTACTCAAGAATATTCTGTGCAAACATCGCCTGAAACTTTACCCGATCTCGAAGTGCCGGACACTGAAAAAATAGTTGTCTTGCCTCCAGTTGAAACAGCAGATACTAATCTACAAACTTCGCCTACACCAGTTGACGAAGTCTTTGTGCAGACTTTACCTAAAGAAGATAAAGAAGTTCATACTCAAACAATTTCTATAGATACACTAAATGTACAAGATTCTGAGATTCAGACAAGTAGAATCAACACTCCCGAGGTTATAACGCAGTCGGAGGCTATGACTCAAGTGATTCCACATGACGTTAGCTATTTAGAAGAAAAAAATTTACAAACATCACCTATAACAGAATTACAAGAGGATGTTGACGTCTCAGAAGTATCACCAATTGACGTTGAATCTATTGAAATTCAGACTTCCCCTTGGCCTCAAATACAAAAAGATGAAAAAGGTACTGAAACTACTATCGAAACTGTAGACACAAACGTTCAAACTTTACATCATGAGATTGTTGACCAAGAAACATCCACGAGCCCTGAAAAAATGGCAGATTTAATAGAGAGCAGTGTCCAAACTCCAAGTGTTATAACAATTAGTAAGTTTACTCAATCTGAAGAAGCATCGCCTATCGAGCAAGAACATCCAGACGTTAGAACGGATGAAGAATTCACAACTCTCCCTCTTGATAACAAGGAACAAAAGACTGTAACAGTAGATTATTCGCAACAAACTTCTCCAACACTTATGGAAACCCTTGGTCATCAGTCTCCAATCCCGATTGAAAATATCGTTAAAGTTGACAACGGTCAACAAACTTCACCTCGAGTAGCAGAAGTAACGTACATTTCTGATAAAGTAGATACAATTTCATCAGATAAAACACAACAAACAACGCCAAGAGATTACCCCGAAGATGTAATTCCTGACTTGAAAAAAGATGTAAGCACTACTGATCGTGTCCAACAAACATCTCCTCGTATGTATTCTGATGATTCAATTTCAACTTCTACTGACGAACCTTATGAAATCCATCTCCGAGCGCAAATCTCGATTCCGCAAGCTACAGATGATTTTATCAATAATGAACGTCAAATTCAAGAAGCACCTCAATCAATATCTGGGGATAGGTCGAAGCCGAAAAAGAGAAGACACAAAAAGAAAAATGAAACATCCTTGCATTCACCTGGAAGTCTCTCTGATCCCATTAACGCAGAACTTTCAATTTCGGTAACACCAACTAGTGAAGATTTATCTAGTAGAGAAACAACTTCGATTGATGAAGGAATATCTCAAATTACGAGTCCAGTTGAACATCCAGGTCAACAGTTTGTTGCTCAACCAAAACTCACTTATTCGGATGTTGTGCAAAGATCAAAATCTAAATCGCCTTCACCAAGCAAAACGATTCTTCCGCTTATAAAATCGGAGAAAGCTCGCTTAATTAATTCTCTCGAAAAAAGGACACAATCTATGGTTGAACCACAGAAAACTATTTCAGAAGATTCGTTGGCCGTAGCCTTAATCGAACCTTCAATGGAAAAATCTTATGATCTTATTATTAACAAAGAGTTAAATGATTTAAAAACAGCGGTTGAACTAAGAGATAATACGAAGACGGAAAAAAGCGTACTTATTGTTATCGAAACTATTTCAATTTGGTTGGAGGAAATTCAATACAAAATACAGATAGAATCTGTTACTCAAACTAAAGTTAGCGACAAAAGTGAACGCCTCAAAGAGCTTCAGAACCATGTCAACAATCTTAAAGAAATTTTATACGTTACTGAAGTAAACGAGGAAATTATTACACTAATAGAGACGTTGACGCTTCAAGTTGAAGCAGTCAAAAACTTAAGTAGTAATAGTTCGGTAAAAGTAAAGGAAGTAGAAAACGAGTGGGGTAAATTTTTGGAAGACACCGAAATGTTAAGTCTATCCATTGAACGGGTAAAGATGCGACTGGACGATATGATAATTTTAGAACTATCCGTTCAACAGAAACTTGAAGAACTGGATAATGTCGAATTAGAAAACATCGAAAATACAGACACGGTTAGAAAGTTGTTCCGAAGATTCCGCAGTATTGTTGAAGTTAATCCTAAACGGGAATGTCCTTTAAAATTGTACACTTGCGACGAAGACACCAAACAGATCGAAAACTCTATTAATACCGAGAGAGATCGACTTATGCAGTTGATGTCGTTGGCGGAAGAATATGAACAAACATTACAAGACTTCGGTCACATAACGGATGTAGCGGAGGCTCTACTGGACGGAAAGATAATTGTATCAAACTTGGAACATCTCCACGAAGAAATTCAAAAGCACAGGAAATTCTTCGTTAATTTAAGTCACTGCCGAGCAATACTCGAGTCCTTAGAAGATAATTTGGACAGTGAAACCAGAGCTAAATTCTCGTCACTACATAACTCCCTTCATGACAGAGCGACCAAAATAATAGATAGAGCCGCCGGGCGCGCACAACAGATGACCCTAGCCGCCTCTCGTTGGAGCGTGTTGGACCACGGTATGAAAGACGAGCAACAGTGGTTACGCGTTGCTCATCAAAGAATCCCGGACCTCACCAACGTTACGTCTATGGATCACGAGCAGTATATCAACCTATACCAGTCCATCAGCCTCGATGTCTCTCACCATTATGCTAAAATGTTACGGCTACTTTCCATAACTGAGAGCTTACAAAATCTCATCGTTTGCTCCGGATTGGAGACCGAATGTTCGACAGCGCTCAACACCTTATTAACACTACAAGACGGTATCGACTCGAGATTAACTAGGCTGAGGGCCTTTAAAGAAAATTGGATGGCATACGAACATCTCATAAACAGAGTCGAAAGTTGGATGTCACTCGCCAACAGAGAATTAGAAAACATAACTCCTGATAACATTACAACGACTGCAAACTTAAGACGATTCTGGGAATTGAAAGCTCAACATGAAGTACATCTCAACCTGAAAAATGAATCCGGCGTTCAGTTCGAGAAGGCCCTAGAAATATTGCCGATATCTGACGAGATGGTGCAACGACAATTCTTCATGAAAATAGAAGATAAATGGCGGGAACTATCCACCAGCATCGGCGACCTGCACGCGACCGCCATACAAAATATATCGGATCGCGACGTGTCATCGGGCGAGAAAATCCACATTCTCGAGGAAGAATTAAGAGAACTGCGGGCATCGCTGGACGGTCTGAAGGGCGTCATCAAGAGCGAGGACGAACTCAATTTATACATAGAGAGGCTGCAGGTGATGACGGGCCGCATCGACAGGATCCAGAACGAGCTGGGCCGGCTGAGTTTGCTACCCAGCGCGGAGTCTGACCGGGTTGGCGTGCTGCTGGGCCAGTCGGGCACATTGGACGATCAGATAGCGGAGGAACTGGAGAGGAGCATGATACTGAAGGAGAAGATAGTCCAAGTGCAGGCAGGCATCTTGCGGTGCCAGAAGAACCAGCAGCGCGCGCGGCTCACGCTCGAGGAGTGCCAGGCGGCGGAGCGGCTCGGCAGCGATGTTGTCGAACGCGCCTCGGAGACCTGCCGTCGGCTGCTCGACGACCTGGTGGCCCAGTGGCGCGACATCCTCGCCCTGAGGCAGACGCTGCATACCCTGCCCATAAGTCTGCGTGTGACCGTGTCGCCGACGGGCGTCGAGAGAGATATATCAGCATTACAAGTAAGTTCCTTCTTTGTTGTAAAATATCTTCTGGTCGCGTCGCCTTTGTCTAATATAATCCGTTGCCCGCAGGAGACGCACGCGGAGCTGGAGGCGGCGTGCAACGAGCTGTGCCTGCGGCTGCGGGCGCGTGCGGCGCTATGGCGGCGTTTCGAGCGGCAGCTGGAGCTGGTGCAAGGCGCCGTGCGCGAGGCCGACTACATGGCCGAGCTGCTCACCGTGCAGGGCCAGGTCGACTACGACCGGCTGCTTAAGGCTACCGAGAAACTTGAGGTAAGATCATACCTATAGGTGCAATAAACTTGGTGATTTTTATTTTAGTTGTACCATATGCTATATGTAACTTGTCACTTGTCAGACGCTGAGCGAGTCGCTGTCGCGGCGCAGCGGGGAGCTGGTGGGCGAGCTGCGCGAGGCGGCGGCACCGCTGGAGGCCGGAGCGGAGCCCGCGGTGGCGGCGCAGCTGCGACGCGACATGGACGACGCGGCCGCCGCTTACGAGCATACGTGCGCTAACCTCGCGCAGATGTGCGACAAGTAAGTATACATCCATACATATGTACATACATACATACAAGTTGTAGCATATTATTTTAAATAATGTATATAATTTTCGCGTAGATATCAGAAAGCAGTGGAGCTGTGGCGGAGGTACCGGGACGCGGCGAGCGCGGTGCGCGCCTTCGCGGAGTCCCAGGAGGGCCGGCTGCACGCGCTGCGCCCGACAGACGCGCCCAAAGCCGCACAGGTAGGACACACTTTTGACCTTCGACTCGAAAACTTTATTACATCAACGCCATCTATCAATGTAGCTGAAACATTAAAGTTCTGTTAGCAATCTTGAGTACAAAATTATAAAATGCACTTCGGCGTGAATAATAAGCACATAAAAATAAAACAATGCGTCATACGACGAGCAAATACGGGGCGAGTCAAGAGGTGCGCCGGTCAACGTCCTTGGTATGCATTTCCCGGGAACTAAGTGATACGTTAGTGTCAAACTGAAAACAAAACATAACCGCACCCGTCACTTAGAGGAGTAGACAGTAATTAATATTAGTTTTGTATGGTTTTACATTTAAATTCCTGTTTGATACAGAAACATTGCATATTTTTTTTGTCAGACGCCATCTATTGAGTTGTTTTCAAAATAACTGTTAATTGATTTGAATTGTTTAACAAAAATCTAATTTAGTATGTCAAATAAAGTTATAATTATCATCAAATTGCGGTTATCGCGATTGTAAATATAAATATGAACAAGATAATCTAACATTGCCCTTGATTTTTTATCTGTGGCCTGAGAATATAGATAAAGGACGGGAAACCAAAATATCTCTTCAATGAACAACATACCAAATTAAAAATAATTAAAATTCTGTTCTTTTAAATAACATAAATCAGATAAAATAAAATTTAGAAGGCACTAGAAAGTTTCTCAATAAGAAAATAGACAGTCTTGCGTCTTAAATACAAATTTTATTTATTCAATTTTACACATTGAATAAACTAAAGGATTGTGTTAAATTCGTTTGCTACGTAAATTTTAATTTAAAGACCGAGTTAACTAAAAGTTTTATGCTTCTAGTGTAAATTACATAAATTACAAATCTTTCACAGTCACACCGTGGGTTTCTGAGACCAAAAATCTCCGTTTAAAACATATTAGTATCTCAATTTGGTCAAAGATAATGACAGGGACGATGATATGTTTTATACATAGATTTCGGCTTCAGAAACCAACGGTTAGTCATTTTGCAAAGTTTTTTGTCACGAAAGTCTAAATTTTTATTACAGCGCCATCTACATTATACAAAATGTACTAATAATTGGATAATTTTTCTCCCTATTTTTAAACATTGTTTGAATATCAAATCTATCCATAGTTTACCTTAATACCGGTAAATGTTGCCAGTATCGTAATACGAGGCACATTAGCTTGTGTTTACTTAAAACATACTGTACGACGCGATGAGTCAAGGCCCACCGCCTTATACGAAATCCGTCGAGAACAAACTCTATGATGTCATCCACCAGTTTGTCGCCATATGTTGAAAATATTAAATTAAATTAAATTTATTATAAGTAAATAAATTCATATTTATAACGGGACATATGAATAGTTATATTTTTAATAGCGCTCTGGGCAAGATTTCTGATTTTTTAGCATTGTTTTCACGGGATGGGGTTAACAGAGTTCTGTGAGGATAACAAGACTGTGTATTTCGCAGACATGTCGTCTCTTTCTGTACACCGTCCTGGGCGGTCGCCAAAACTCGCCCTAACCTAACGCCGGCCCTGGATAGACAAGCCTTTTTTTATAGTCAGGAAATGCATTTACGCACGCCTACGCCGGGCGGTGCAATGGCGTAGGGAGTGTGGGACTCGCCGGCCACAGAAGGTGACCAGAATACCCACTAAAACCTGACTGCCCTCTGACGCATTATGGCGGGCGCCACAGGAACGCTTTAGCTTACTTCCGTGGGCCCGCCTGAGGATAGACAAGCCTTTTTTTTTCAGAGGGGAATGCTTTATGCATACTCCGCGCCCCGGGGGGGACGCGGTAGTTATGTGGGATTCTCCTCCATAGCGGAGGCATACCCACTAAACCCCTCTGTTCCTCCAACGCATCGGGACGGGACCACGGGCACGCTTTCGCTCTCGTCCGCGGCCCGAGGTTAGACAAGCCTACCCTAATGTATACGGTCTCCCTGTGTTTATCAATTTTTGAATTAATTCCAAAAGTACGTTAAATAACCAATTAATATGGGTTTTTATGTATTTATTCACACTTCCTTTTGTATTATTTTTTGCATTATCACTTTTATTCATTTTTATTTCGTACTTGAGTAAAACTAAACTATAAAAAGTACATTATTTACTGCATGTACATATTTACAAACTTAAATATAACATCGGCTGCAAAAGAGATAGCTTTATAGAAATTTTAAGTATGTCTTTCTTCATTAAAATACGTCTTTATTTGCCCCATGTCTATAATTATGAATATTCTCAAAGCAACAACTAGAGTTGTTTTATTTAGCATGTAGTAAATAAGATCCTCTTAAGACGCGATATCGTTTTCTGTGAATCAGGCTAATACTGAACGAGAACGTGTGAATCGACCGCAACTTTCACAGCGTATACATTTCTGGTAGCGTTTTTATATAGTATGAATATTTTATTGATCCTTGGTAACTAAGTTATGTGGACATTTAAGGAATTAACTTGATACAAAAAGTGTTAATTTTCATGTCTACGTTGTTCCATGATGGTTAAAGTTAGGTGAAAAACATGGTGGACATATTTAATCTTGTTGTTGGTGCATGCATACACAATCTAGTTTATATTTTGTAAGATTTTAGACAAAAATATAGTTACGATTCGATTTCCAATAAAAAAATTCGCAGCTGAAAACTAGCGAATAGACCGTAACACGTAAATGACTAAAATTCGACTTAATTAACTGATAACGCGATGATAACGGATCTGTTCGGCCAACCAACGTCAGTTGCTCAGCGCACGTCCGATCCAACGGACGTGCTTTGCTGAGCGAACGTAACAAAATACACGCGAAATAAAACGAACAAACTCGAAGCTATACTCGAATATCAAATAAAACGAAAATATGTCTATAAATTAAAATACGAAACGTCAAAACGCGCGCCAAAATAAACGTCAAACGTGTTAGTGTTTAAATGCGCGCATAAAATCCAAGGCCAAAGGTGATGTGATATCAGTGACAGAATGCAACCTACTTCGAAGGACATAGACATGTGAAGGATTGACTTAAAATTTATTGTTTTTTTTTACTAAAAACCACTTAGTTGAAACACGACAATTTTATTCACAAGTAACATACATTAAGTTGAGATTTAAAACTTGTTTTTTTATGTTAAAAGTAAATTTTAACTGATATCGTCGTTTTAGTCATATTATTATTTAAAGTTGTTTTTTTTAAATCTTTGATTGTCAAATATCATTAATTTTAATGTGTTTTTGTAAACTTTGAACTGATTGTGTATTTCCGTGTTGAGAATGGCCGCGTTGTTGTATGTTCTATGCCTGAGCCCTTGTGCATAATTTCATTAGATCATTAGGCGATAGTTGGTTGCATTCGACCTTGGGGAGCGGCCGTGACTTGGACGATTTTATGTGCCTTAAATTATATTGAAATCCTCATTCGCGTCACTCCCGATTGTCGTGTGTTAGTCGATCGAACCCGTGTGTGTAATTTTAAGTTTTTTTTTTTCTAGTGGATTATAATAAAAGTGTTGTGATGTTTTTATATTGTGTTCACGTAATATATTATTTTTATAATCAAGTGATAAGAAATGTGTGTCAGTTGTCAGATCTGTGATTGAATGTACTATCACAATGTCACTACATGAGGTAAGATTAATAAAATAAATCTTACAATTTTATTTTTAAATTTTATGAAAGATATTTTTAAAAGTACCCACTTTGAAACATATTTTTTTGAGTTAGGATAAAGTAAACAAAGTCTTGAAAGAAAATTAATTAAAAATTGTGCATTAAAAAAAGTATAAAACGATCTGAAAGTCAGAAGTTATCAAATGGTAACACAGAATTGGATAAAAAACCGATAATTTTTTTTTATTTACATTCTGTAGTTACCAGGCAGTTGGGTGTAAGTTGCCAGTGTCAATATTTGTTCTGCCAAAGCCATATTCATTTTACAAATCCCGTTATGTCTTAATAGTCCTACGTGTTTTGATTATTAATATAAAAACTTTATTTGTGGTTCAGTGGTTAATAAATGGGTTGCCTAAAGCAGTTTAGGTTCGATTAATAATAGCTTGTTTTTAACAAAATTTGAAAACATCAAACATCATTTGCTTAATATACTTAATTTAATTAATTAATAGCTTATAAAAAAATGACTATTCATTATTATGTAATTAATTTGGCATACTATGTTTGATGTTAACTCATCAATAAGATATCCTTTAACAGTGCGGTCTCACTGTATTCATATTTGTATCAATTTGCTATCCCTTTCATTCTCTTTGACAAAACAGAGATACCAATACTTGGCAAGTGACACAAAAATTGAAACATTTGTATTAAGGTATGCGTTTATTCGTCCGCATCGGACGCACCGCACGCACGGATTAAACGGATTTACTTTGTCTTTCTATGCAGGCGAGGCGGATGATGGACGCATCGCTACGTATTATATGTATACAAAGCAAACTAAAATCCCTTAAGATATTAGACGTATCTTTACAAACCTTCCATAACAGTCAAATGTTTGATGAAATCTTAAAACAATGCCAGCAAACAACGCCTATTAACACCAACAAATGTTCGCGTAGAATTTCGTCTACAATTAACGCGCCTCTAACTTTCCAAGGTCTTTTACTATTGTGTATAGTAAAGAACGTTAAGACGCGCCAATAAATTAATGTCTTAAACAGAATGCATAAAATATGAACAAATTAATCAATACTTAGTATTTTACTATCCGTTTGCTTATTAAAAAAAACTCGTATTTTATGACGCAAATGAATAAAAAAGGTTATGTTAGGCGATTGGCTATTATTGACCCATGAATTTGTTAATCTTTGGTCCAATATTATCCACAAATGTTATGAGTCTTATTATTCTAAGTGATAACTTATTGCAACTTTGTTTCGACCAGACTTAGCGAGCGGATGATATAAGTAAAGTGATAAAGTTACATTGAACTTACTCGTACATAAATACCTACTCACATTTACTGAC